GAACATCTTCTTGAATAAGCAATCAAATAAGTACTTATGGAACATATTCTCAAATAAACACTTCTTGGACATATCTCGAAAATTATGAATGAATTTTGATTGTCAATTGAAACATTAATCAATCTAATATTATTTAGAATGCAGAAAATAAGTTAAACTAACTTCATTTTGACGAGAATTTTTTTTTGAAATTTTCATGAAAAATTTGCTGAAATGAGTGAAAATTTTAAAAAAACCGATGTATTTCCAGGATAAAAATTCGTACAATCCGCACAATTTGAAAAAAAATCCGTACAATTTTAGGGTTACAAAATAAAAAATCCGTACAATTCGTACATTTAGGCCACTCTGCGCTAATAATAAGCCAACCAATCAAAACAACCAACTCTGGTTAGACGGGTCCAAACTACATAGTAAATTGTGATTTGTTATTTGTATTATCTCGTGCTTTGTAGATTCGCAAAATTTCTCAAAATCTTGAATGTTTCTGGACTCTGTTAAGTACATTCAGTTTCAATATCTTAAAAAAGTTAAAAGTGTAAGATTTTTCATGACTACAATATAATTTTCAAAGATAAGAAAGAGATCATATTTAACTGTTGTTTCATAATTTAAAATGCTGCAAAATGTTAACAGTTTCATATCAAAAAGTAAAAACTTGTTTTTACAGGTTTTGAATCATTCAAAATTTTTCATCTCTTGCCACTTAACAGGATTCCAAATCCTTTGGTTCTTTTTAAAAACTTAAATGGTTTAAAGGCTTAAATGATTTAAAAACTTAAATGGTTTAAAAGCTTAAATGGTTTAAAAGCTTAAATGGTTTAAAAACTTAAATGGTTTAACAACTTAAATGGTTTAAAAACTTAAATGGTTTAAAAGCTGCAAAAAGTTACGCAACGCAGAGTCTAGGGTATCCATTATTCAAAATAACTATGATTAATTCTACTCCTTTTATTTTATATAAAACATATAATCTGAAATATCTATACCTGCACTGTTAGGTGGGGAACTAGTCTTGTTTCGGAAATTATACAAAAACTGAACATTTTCCTAATTTGTTTTTTTTATTATAAAATCAGGTTGCTTAGGATTTGAGCTTGGGGTTTAGTGCTTCTAGAATATCTAAGCGATTTAAACTTAATGCCGATTTAAGTCGGATCAAAAACTATTGATTAAAAAGAAATTATACTGCAATTACAGTGGTAGGCGATTTTATCAATACAATTAAGACGACTTTTGATTTTAATTTTGATTTATATTAACGTGGATACACAGCATGGATTAAAAGTAGCACAATCTCTGACGTACGCATGGATACTTAATGATTTATCACTTTGTATATGCGTGATATCACCAAATGTGTACCAAGGTTGTAATGCAAGGAAAGTTATTTTAGAGGTGTGCACATCTTTTGTACTGCAGTGAACTGTCTCTGGGCGGTAATTTAAACACTAGACGGATGTCGAAGCCTGACATGGGATCCATCTTTCACAAAAAAAAAACTCAATGAAATATTCTGATCATATGAAACTATTATGTGAATTATCAAAATTATCAGAATTTAATGCTTTTAACCCCCTCTGATACTAAACGAACAATGATGCATCCATAATTGTTTAAAATTCCGCCCAAAGAGAACTGGTTTCAATATGTACGCAGAGTGTACGCAACTGCAATTAACTTTCCTTGCATTAAATCCTTGATGTGTACTATAGTATCAAAAATGTATAATGCTAATTGTACTTAATGCAAATAAAACAATGGTAGGAAGTTGACTAGACAACGTTATAATGTGCAAGTTGTACTTAATTGGCACTGATTTAACAACAATAAAATAGTTTCCAAACATTTATCAAGATTTCTCTTTGTTTCCTGTATTTTTACTATGAACACCTCGTACAATAAATTAAGTGTTTGAATTATTAAAAAAATGGTGTAATCTTATCTGCAATCATGATTCTAGCACTGGCACCACGGGCAGCCTTAGTACATTTGAATTTCCTTGGCGGGTCAACCTTTCCGGTCCTTGTTTGTACTGTATCGCCCGGACATTGGGTAAATAAAGCAGCCACTCAATATGACTAGCCGATGCAACAAGGTTGACTTTTCTTGGGTCAGGGGTGTGTGGCACATCTATCAAAATTTTGCCTAATGTAAAAATGAGACTGTATGGCATTTTACAAATTTTCATGTCCCTCTGAAAAGTTCAGGGGTTCACTTTGATAGCATATCTAGAATCTAGATCTTTTAGAAATTAAAGCAATAAATAAATATGCAGATATATGATATATATATGCAGATACAAAGGATGACAATTTTAGATTGAAGTAAAAAAATTAGCAATCTGAATCTTTAGTGCAAACGCTGTCATAAAAAAGTATAAGATGTTAAAAAAAATTAGAAATATTGATTTTTGAAAAATTATGGAATTTCCTTTATTTCGGATTTTGGTGCCATAACAGCGGCAGCCGCTGCTACGAGACCGGAAGTCAAAAACCTGTTAAACATTCTTCTGAAATTTGAAAAAAATTACAAAAAATTAAAATATATATTAAATTATCTTCAACTTTTTAATGCAAATAAAAACTTTTACGATTACTTCCCCAAAAAATGTTTTCATTTTTTAAAATCTATCAAGCATTTCTCTCCGACCCAACCCTTAACAGTTTATGATTTAAAATCATATTTGCTTTTTTTAAATCGTTATTTACTAAAAATTATTATTTGAATTATTTTTGCCTTCCACTGGTAACGTATGATTTAAAGGGAATATTTAAGAAAAAAAAGTTTATGTATATTTATTTATATTTATTACAATCAAAACACAGAATACTTAAAGGGTAAACAGACCCAAAAACAAATTAGCAAATATATTTTTAACATTTTTTATAATTAGCTAGGATTTAAAAAGAATAATATCCTGAAAGCAAAATAGTTAAGTTATGCGTAGAATTAAAACACTTTCTTCCTACGCATAAAAGTATAATACCACATTCTTGAAGGATTTGAAAACACTCCCAGAATTACATTTTTTTAACTTTTATTTAAACCTGAAAGGCCCAGTAATTTCTTATAACTTTGGTTTTTGTTTTTGTTTGAGGTAAAAAGGACTAACTTTACATCTGTATTCTTTCAATCAATACGGAGGAAAAATCCTCAATTCTTTCCCCTAATCTGGGGCGTAGATGAATTCGTATGAATATTTTTTTATGTCCATTTATAATACTTTTTTTAAGATTGAAGGCAATGAAAACAGGGCCTATCAAAGTCAGCAATCAGCAATCAGCTAGCTAGATTAACCTTGTAAGACTTCAGTTGACCTAGTTTGTTCCAGTTCCTGTTGATCTGCTCCACCAACATGAAGCACTACATCACTCCCATGAAGTACCCACAAATATTCATCATTAATTCCTTTGTTAATTTCTAAACCAACCAATTTTAACCCAGTCTTGGGAAAATATTTCAAAACTTTCGTTTTTGAAATAAATATTAGAAATATCCATGTTTAGATCTCTTTATTTTACTATAGTGACTTTTAAAGTCAACAGACCTATATTGAGTAAATATCAAGAACAAATTCTAGTTTTATCACAAGAGAATTTAATTGAAAGAACTCGAGATAAATAATCAAAAAATCTGACCATAATCTTCTCTCACTTAAAATAAAAGAATAAACAACTTAATTCTATTCACCAAATTTTAATGTTCTTTTTTTCCTTTTTTGTGTGTTTTTCCCCTTTTTTTATGAATTGAAACGTTGTATAATTAAAATTCTAATTTACTTTTTATTCCTTTACAATTGGAAAGAAAATTAAAAAGGTAAAAAAAAACAAAGAAAAAGAAAAAAAGCGTTTACACAAGTCCCGTCTTATATTAACTAGTCTCATTTTTAATTTTTTTAGCTTTTTTTCTTTTTTTTTCTTTTTACTATTATAATAGTTTATTTTGCGTATGACCGTGTTTAACAACATAAAACCAAGAATTCCTCTTTTGTATTTTATCTTCTGTACATAATCAATATTTTTAATTTTTTAATCCTTGAAACTAGTGAAACCTAAAATAAAGAAACACAAAATTTAAGAACTTGAGAACCTGCGAAGTCAATATGCTTACTTTTTAAACCTATCTTCCTAACTACAACTTCGGAAAGAAGTATAAAAAATCCTCAGGTTATCCCTGAACCCCTCTGTTTTATTCCTTCTTTCTTCTACTTCCTATAAAAATTAACCCTTATATCCTCCAACAAATATACCTATAAAAATTAACTCTTATATCCTCCAACAAATATACCTTTAATCCAAACAATTATTCCCTAAAATCCTCACACATAATAAATACAACACAACTTATTGAAAAGAACATCCAAGTTATCAGAAGCAAGCAGTGATATAACATATGAGAATCACAACCTGGAATACCAGAAGCCTTGGAACAAGACAAGGTAGCATCGAAGCATCAAAGAAAAGATTAATAAACATTGCCAGCAATGACCAAGATCTTATCATCCTAACAGAAACCAGACATCTTTAACGAGAACCATTCAAGATTAAATGGACTTAACTAGAGAATACATCAGAGATTTTATGACTGAACTCACAGTAATGAACAGAATTGTTCATCAATTATTACTTGGTTGAAGAACAGTTTTCAAAAACAAAACAAAAATAATAGTTTCATTTTTATCAATTAAAATGAAATTGAAAAGTCAAGTTTGCATAAAGTTTGCAAACCATATTGAAATATTTGCACTGCAAAAAAACAGGGGTAAATTTTTTAAACCATTTTTTGCTGAATTTAAGGGGAGTTTTAAAAAGGAGAAAACAACTTGCCAACTTGTTTGAATTGAATGCTTCTGCAGAGAAATGATTGTATTATATATACAACGTTCAATGTATGTAAAAATGGCGTAAATTAAAAAAAAAAATTTAAAAAAAATATTTAATTGTTTAAAATGGTGAAGAGATTGTAGGGAAGTCCCTGTGTTGAGTATGAAATGTAGAATAAATATTTGCATCACATAAGTTGAAATTTCCAGCTCTCAATCAGATGCCTCGTCTGAAATAAAAGAATTTTGTTAAAAAATCAAATAAACAACAACAACTACGCAACTAACGAATTTTGTGAGAAAAAGAGGAATTCATAGAGAATGAAATCTTAGAATCATTTGAGTAAATCATATAGCTTTCACCATGTGTCACATGAACTATGGCATCCATCAATTATATCCAATAAAAAAAGCAATAAAAATTGACAAAGAAGGAAAAACTTTATTGAATTAATGAATTGAATATCATTAAATTAATTAACAAATAACTATCATTAAAAAAGATGGTTGAGGTGACCTGATTATTTAACTTCAGAATACACTTCCTCTTCTTCCGGTTCATCATCCCCATCTATCTCCTCATCCTAAACAGAAAGGAAAATAACAATGATAAACGCTAACACTAACTTTAACACTAACAATGACGCTGACGAAAGACGACATATTTACCTTCTTGACAAATCCGTCTTCAGTCGAGGTTGTGGGATCTTCTTTACTAGGCACCCATAATCCAGAGTCCACACACCTAATCAGATAAATCAGTTTAAAGGCTGCAAACTGATTATGAAATTAAGTTGTAATCCAGGAATAATATGATAAAATAATCTAAATGCATTCTTTCATGAAGGCCGCAAACTTGAGTTAATGAATGCATCAGGATTATTTTATCGAGTTTAAGAATTCCATTATTACATTTTTATTCTCATAATATTAGTATTATATCATATTTGTGGGGTTCCATACCCAAGAAATTAGACTCAAACAACTTCTGGTAAAATAGGATTATTTCAAGTTGGACCAATTGACATTATGAAGGGCTTTTAATAAGTTTTTATGTTTCATTGATGCTCGTGTTGACTATCTTCGTTTTTTTAATTTTCTAAAATTACAATGCTTAAATGTAAAAACCCTTTAATAAGTAAAAGTTGATTCTTCATTTGAAAAAAAATGCATGAAATGTGATTGTTTCTTTCGTTTTGTTTGTTTACCGATTTATAATGCATTTGCTTGGTTTATTAAGTGGATGCTACATTTAAATCTAAAATGTTGAATGTGCCCTGAGTTTTTAGATGGGGGGAAGGTAGAGAATAGTAGTGGGTTTTCCAAATCTACTGAAAAAAATTGTTATTTCATTTACAGAAGAAATCGTTTGCTGGATATTAGATCCTAAATCATCCAGTAAGAGGAGAAAAGCAGGTTATCTACCAAGAACCAGTTCAACAAATGAAATGATGAAGATCTGTGTCTTCTATTTATGAATCAAGATTTACTGGTTTGTTTGTTTTGCTATCGAGTGCTAAGACCCCACTAAAAGTTAGTAACACTGGTATTTCAATCATTATTTTTTTTAACTAATCTCTTAATTCTGTCTAATTTATCCAAATATTACAAATGAATTTGGAACTCTAAAAAGGCTCTTGCTGTTCAGTATTAAGTGAATAAGTTAATAAGTGAGAAAACAGTTAATTGAAATATGCAGAGATTTGCAAAGTCTTACAAAACTTGGTTTGCAATGAAGAAAAGCTAATAATTGTTTGTGTAAAGTAGGCAGTCGGGCAGTATGCTTTGAGACATAGGCAGATTGATAAAAATACCCAATCTAATTTTTTTGGAAAGCTCAAAAAATTCGAAGTCCTCTGAATCATTCTTAATGAGTTATTTTAATTTAATAAGGAGGGGTTGCCCCCCCCCCCTCCACTCTTCTGTCAATGGAAATTCCTGAATTAAGGTATTTTAATACTTCTAAAAACGAAAAAGGTAAGTGAGCATGAACAGGTAAGTTTGCATGTTTTGATATAATATAACATGGTAAGTGAGCATGAACAGGTATGTTTGCATGTTTTAATATAATATAAAATGGTAAGTGAGCATGAAAAGGTAAGTTTGCAAGTTTTAATATAATATAAAATGGTAAGTGAGCATGAAAAGGTAAGTTTGCATGTTTTAATATAATATAAAAAGGTAAGTGAGCATGAAAAGGTAAGTTTGCATGATTTAATATAATATAAAATGGTAAGTGAGCATGAAAAAGTAAGTTTGCATGTTTTGATATAATATAAAATGGTAAGTGAGCATGAAAAGGCAAGTTTGCATGTTTTAATATAATATAAAATGGTAAGTGAGCATGAAAAGGTAAGTTTGCATGATTTAATAAACTAAAAAAGGTAAGTTTACATGTTTTAAAATTAAAATAAAAAGGTAAGTGTGCATGTTGTCAGTACAAAATAATTATGTTAATATCAATATTGATCTATGTTGAAAAGACCAATATAAGGAGCGTGTAAGAATGAATATTCTTAAACTAGTGTAATATTTTCCATTCTTTAATGCTCAGAGCGTGTAAGAATATACATTCTTTCATGCTCTGATTGTGTAATAATTTCCATTCTTACAAGAGTTTAAGAATGTAAATTCTACACCTTGTAAAAATGGGAATTCTTGCTCGATAGGTTTACTACTATGGAACCGAACACTTATGATCAGTGTTTCGGATCCGTATCTTTTTTGATGCGGATCCGGATCCGCGGATCCGCATCCGTGATGATGGATCCGGATCCTGACTCTGATACGGATCCGGATCCGAGGTAACTTTTGATTCTGTGAATCGGATTTTCCCTATTAAATGTTATGCAAGGTTATAATTCATAAACTATATTTATTATATATTCCGAAATGTAACAAAAAAAATATAGACTTTTTGGAGTAATCCATGTGAGCATTTGCCGCTGAGTAATCCTAAAGTTAAAAATGTCGTCATTACTATTATATAAATTGTAAACATTAAATTATTAAAGATAATTTTGAAAAATTTTCGTCATGTAAATAATACATTTACGAACCATTTTGATTTATTTATTCCATGGTTTTTTCGAATTCACATCTTCAAACCTTTATCTGGTAAAGAATGCCTGAGATATTAATAATTTTATCTTTTAAAATTATTTTTTCAATTATGGTTACTCTATAAAGTGCCTACTGTCTAGCAGGATTACAACCTTTACAATCTAGAAAAAAATATTGATACGATCAAGGTTTAAAGGGTATCGTAGTGAATCAGGCATGTCTTTCATTTAAATGGAAGGTAATTTTATCAAAACTACATTCACTGTAAAATAATTTGACATGCTATAGTAATAGAAATCAGAAACCCACATTTTTCTGTTTTAATTCAACAAAGTGTCCGGGGCAGTTTCTGGAAGGAATTAAAGACGAAGTGTCCGGGGCAGTTTCTGGAAGAAGTTAAAAACAAAGTGTCCGGGGCAGTTTCTGGAAGGAATTAAAAATAAAGTGTCCGGAGCAGTTTCTGGAAGGAATTAAAAACAAAGTGTCCGTTTCTGGAAGGAATTCACCTACCTTCTGTAGTAAGGGTATATCTTGACTCTCAAAACAGTCCTTCATTGATTGTGGTAATGATTCAAAAACCTAAAAAAAATTTGTTCCATCAAATTTATTTAACAATATTTTTTAACACATTACTTTCACATTAAAAAATGCTAACTTGGGGGGAGGGTAATTGTCTCATATTTTCAATGATAAAACCTTTTCCAAAAGAGTTTCTTTATCTTAAACATTATCTCTTTTTATTAAAAATGAAAAGTTTAAATTATTTTTCAAGTTGGAATAGAAAATCTTAATCGCATCTTGAGTTCCTCTTGGAATATATTAGTTTCATCAAGATTTAACTTTATCTTAGATTGGTTTCAGCCAGGCAGGGGGGGGGGGGGCAGGGGCTTAATTAGTATTAATAAACCAGACAGGGATCACAGGGTGTTTTCAAGAATTTTTCCAGGATGATTAAAACTTGTTATTTCCAGGGTTGGGCTCAGCCCCCATTGGGGCCTGAAAACCCCGTAGAAATCGTAGATTTCACTTATCCAGGGGAGGTTGGATAATGAAACATTTTTTTAAATAAAAATTTATCACTTGTCATATTTGGACTCCTTACCCCACTCCTCGTCTTGCACTGAATTAGAGGTACCCTAGCAGGGATAGGGTTAAAAGGTTTGAACAATTCTTTAAGAATGTCTTTAATCTTCCTTTCTCAGTTTCAGTAGGTTAATTATCTATTAAAGTTTTCTCGTTAACTAAGGGAACGTAAACACAATTTCAAGTGACCTTCCAGTTTTATTATATAGAAGAAGATCTTCTATATAATAAATCTCTTTATCTCTGGCTAAAGGGTTTTAAGAGTACCGTTGTGAATCGGGCATGTTCTATTTTAATTAAGAGACACTTGAAATTACGTTTACAGTCCCTTTAATCACTCTGATATTCATCAAATATCATCAAAACTGAAAGGTTTTCTTTTTCCGAGTTGGGACTAATCTTTTCATTTCCAGTTTCTGAAAACTATTGGATTGAAAATATAAAATAGAAATTGGAAATAGAAAGAGAGCTGGGAGGGGATATTAAAATGTATAAAAAAACAAACAGAAAAAAATAAAAGTAACGCGAATTTTATCACTAACTGAAGGATAAAGTATTGATCATTGTCATCATAACAAAATTAAACTCTATACCAAACGTCTTTTTAATGGTTCATTGCAAATGATTGATGCTACAAATAATTAAATAATTCAAATCAAATCGATTCTAACTCAAGAATCAATAAGTATCCAAAAATGTGTACGACAAAGATGGCAGACATTTCCGATATTTATTGATATTGATAAAAAACTATGGAATTGTCAACTTGGAGACAGCTCTAAATATCGGAGAAAAACAGGGGTTTAAAAATCCCCCACCCCCGCACTATAGGAAAAAATTTAATTTTTCTCGTTGAATTGGATTTTTAGGTAAAACTTGAAGAACTTCTGTCTAAAAAGTATCAACAACAAAAAAACTTTACAATTAATACAATTAATCCTTTTCTAAAATCACCCCTCTTGGCCCTTTGGAAGGGTAAATCTAAAAAATGGAGAAAAATTTAATTTGAAAAACGCTTTCTTGGAATTGTCTCAATGTCATTCAAGTCTTTAGTCTTATTTTTTTTATTAGGACCGCAGACCCGGTTAAGTTACAATTCCATCAATTGACAAAAGATTATTTAGGGAACAATTGTGAAAATTAAAGTAAGCTTCATTATTATCATTACAACGGATAGACCTCTTTTCTCAAAATTACTAAAACTGATTTAAATTAGCGTCTCTTAAAACTAATCGATTGGTACAATATATATTTCTATTTGTTTACGTGGTTGAAAATAAACCCAACGTCCATAAAATGAACCAGAAAAAAAAAACATTTACCGCAGCGCCTCAAATCTGTGTATAATTCATTTAAAGATAAACGGAGCGATCGCAAAAAATGAAAGGGGGTATAGGCTGATATCGAATTGAATTCGTGTATGTCATTTCTTCTTATAGACGCAACAGACAGAAGTAAAATTAGTAGCGATCAAAATCGAATTTGAATCGACGTCAATCTACCCCCTCCCCCTTCATTTTTCGCGAAATTGAGGCGAACAGTCCCTTTAAACCCCCCCCTTCATTTTTCGCGAAATTCAGGCGAACAGTCCCTATAAAAGTTTTCACCTCTGCTGGATCTAGTCCTCCAGGTCCTAACCTCTCCAACCTTTCCTCCTCCAGGGCCTCGGCGATCTTCTCCTGGGCCCTCTTCTTTATCCTCACCTACTCAAACAACCAACACTCAACATTAAAAAGATCTTCTTAACTAAGGCCAGGGGTGTAATTTTCTTTAAAAAAATATCCCCCTCTTTGAAAATCATTAAGGGGAGAAAACAAATCTTTTTTGGGGAAAAGTATAAAAAATAATGAAGAACTTGCTTTGGATATCCAATTTTTCAGTTTTCCCAAATTCTTTAGAAATCTTTACCCTTACCCCTCTTAAAATACTATCTACCCTACATTTTGACAAGCAAGAGAAAATGGACGTATTCAAAAAATGCCAACATTTTTTACATTTTGCAAATTTCTAAGAATTTGAACTATATTTTAAATAAATAGGTTTTTTAATACAATTTTCAATATGAACGAGAATAATAATTATTTACAACTACTTTAAAGGGAAGTTAAGGGAATTTTACTTTACCAAGGGTTCCCAAGACAAATTTAATTAGTCGAGGGAGCCCGTTACACAATTTTATCCTCTTTTCAGATAAATTTGCGCGAAATTTTTCAAGAAAACTTCGCAGAACGGTTCATTATTTTACATAACTGTCCCAAGGGACATTAAGTAACCTAGGGAGAATCATAGGTCGGCAATGTTGGTCAAAAGGCGACAAAAATGTATTTATTTACAATTTTTAAAACTTTAAAATGAACTAGGGATTTAGTTCAAAGAGATAGAGAGTTGGGTTATCAAGTGCAAAAATCTACGAAGTCGGATTTAACCATTCCCACAACCCCCCCCGAATTTATCCAATATGCATTCTAATCACCTCCCTAAACAAAAAACACTTACAAGCAATCAACCACCAAAATGTTGCATAGTGTGTATGTTTGGCAAACCGAGGGGAAATAATCCGTAATCTATTTTTTAATATATTTTTGAAATTACGGACACTTTTAAATAAACTCATTTACTCACATAACTAAATATTTAAACTATCTCTTTAATGATAAATTTAATGTGAATATTGTTGAGCTTGGTTTCCTTGAAGGCATCCAGTTCAGAGTAAAATGCATTCTTGTATTCCTAAACAAATAGAAAATTAGGACTTCTCGTTTGGTCATTATTTTATCTGGATCAATTCTATCAATCAATTGTCCAATGTTCTCTGATCCTATCCTTCTATATTTTTCTGTTCATATATATAATATCTTAGTTCATGTTTCTATTTTACGAAGAGTTCCTTACCAATGTTCTATTGTCTCTTAACACCATTTTCTCTTAGTGTCTATGTTTCTCTATGTCTCCTACCAATGTTTAAAATATCCGCATCCATATACATATTTTAATACGTATTTCGTTTCTGTACAAATTAAGCAGGGTTGGTATGAAAGAACCCAGCCCAAAAAAAAACCACCCAGTAAACCCCACTTTAAAAAACACCTACAAGTGGGCTTTTTGGTTTTTTTTTTGTTGGTATTTTAAAAATGTTTCTCACTATTGACTTTTATTTACCCTAAATGATAAACTCTTTAAAAAAATAAGATCTTCTATACTACATTGAATTTTGGGAGTTTACAGCACTAAAACTGACAAATATAGCTAATGTAGATACTTATATGCTCAAGAAGAAAGACCAATGATTAATACTGAAAAACTTCAGCTCACACATATATAACTGATAAAGGGATTTTACATCCTTATTCAATCGCAACATATTATGAAAACTCTTAACCCAGAATCTAAGCTTTAAACTTTATTTGATAAAAGGTCTCTTCTCGTTTCATTCCTTGTATACACTTGTCTTAGAAGTCCCTTGACATTATTGTTTTCTTACGATCATCATATCCCTTTTAATCAAATATCATTGTTTTCTTAAGTCTCTATGTAAATATTTTTGTTCCCTTATACTTATGTAGCATTAAAGTTTCTTTTTTTCATCGTCTCTCAGTAAGTCTGTATTTTCCTATGACTCTAATCTCTATGCCTCTTAATCACTATGCCTCTAGCTCTATGCCTCTAATCTCTATGCCTCATATCTCTATGCCTCTAATCTCTATGACTCTAATCTCTATGCCTCAAATCTCTATGACTCTAATCTCTATGCCTCTAATCTCTATGACTCTAATATCTATGCCTCTTTTACGTTTGTCTCTTTAAAGGGACTGCACTGGTGACATGATTTCAAGCAATCCTTTGCTTTGCATTAGGCGAGTGGCAGGAATGAATTACAATGTTAACCTTTAAACATTTGTCTGATCAAGGATAAATAAGATTTCCTTGGTTTAACAATAAATACTCTTGCTCTCATTAATGCTTCAGAAGGAAATTAACACGAGGTATCAGACAGGCGAAAATATTATTGAACCTTGCTTAAAATTAGTTTGACTGTCCCTTATATTTCAATGTCATTGTATCCTTGTACATCTCTGACCTAACAACTTTCTGACTTACAACACATAGCCACATAGCCACATAGCCACTGTAGCCCATAACACTGCAAACCCATGTGCAAGGGGGTTAGAAGTTTAGTATAGTGGATGTGCGTAGGTCGAAAGATACACAACCTGATCAGCAATCTGTATTTTCGAGAAGAAAGATGAAATGCAGGCTCTAGGATCCGTTTCCAGCTGTTTAGCCAGCTCCAACAGGTATTGCATACAGATACACTGAACAGTAAGCATTAATAAATCAATCAATCAATCAATATTATAGGATCTGTTTCCTTCCAGCTGTTAAGACAGCTCCAACAGGTATTGCATACAGATACACTGAACAGAAACCATTTAATCAATCAATATTATAGGATCTGTTTCCTTCCAGCTGTTAAGACAGCTCCAACAGGTATTGCATACAGATACACTGAACAGTAAACATTAATCAATCAATCAATCAATCAATCAAGGATCTGTTTCCAGCTGTTTAGCCATCATTTTACAGATTTACATCCAAATAAAAATAAAAAAATGTATGCTTAAAAGACCTGATGTGCAACATGCGCCATTAGTTCGGATTTCTCCTCCATTTCTAAATCCAGACACCAGATAACCAGATAGTTAGCAGTCTCCTCACAAGCTGAATATTCAATCAATCAATCGATCAATCAACTTATCTACCAGTCTATCGATTAACCAATCAATTTATTAACGTTTTTATCAATCAATTAATTGACCAATTAACCAAACGTTCAATCAACCATATCAATCAACCAGTCGATCCATCAATCAATCAACCAACTTATTTAATGCCTTTCTATCTGTCTATCAATAAGTTCAAAGTAAATTTAAAAAATTTAATAATCACACTTAAATAAAAAATATTTCAAACAATCAGTTTATTATCAATCACAGAGTTTGTTTATCAATCAATTTATCAACGAATTAATCAATCAATCAAAAAAACCTGTCAATCAATCATTCAATCAATCAGTCAATAAATCATTCAATCTTGTACATTTTGGCCCATTACAAAATCCCCAAAAGTAATAAAAACTAGTTTGATATTCACCTAGATGCGTATTGCCATCCATCAAAAACTTTTTGCTATCATCAAACTTCTGTAGCATACCGTACTCCTTTAAAAAAAAAATCAAAATCTTAACATATTAATTATCTTTTAACTTAACTTTTAAAAAAACATAATTTGATTCACCCTCCATTTAAAAAGTATGTATCCGATTTAAAACGATACAATTCCAACCTCAAAATTTTTCATTTCGTAGTGTTTCACTATCTTTTTAATTTAAATTCTGTAAATTTCATTCCGCTTCCATAATAAATCCGTAATTATTATAGAGAACCCGCAATAGAAATTATTCATTTTAAGATAGATAAAGAAGATTATTTCCATCATTTTTACTTTGAATAAGGACTAGAAAGTATCGTCGTCATTGAACCATGTAACTTTATTAATTTAAGTGTCACATTAGTTACGTTGATTGTTTGGGGTGTTAGTTTACTAATTTAATCACTACTTTTTTATTAATTTTCGAAGAGAAAAATATGGGATCTCTCATTCATTCTTGATCAGAGAAACTTTATAGATACCATCGAGAATAGAACATGCCACTCTACAAATGGAAGGTCAATTTAAATTACGTCAACTTTCTCTTAAATACAAGTCTGAAAAATAACAAAAAGATTTAGGATGTTAGATCGAACCTTGATTAATTTCTTGTTCTCCTGGACAAACTTCTTCATCTTCTTCTCCTTCTCCTCCTCACTCAACTCCTCCTTCACCCTACACCACACATTCAACAAATTAAACTTCTTAAAGAGACTGTAAGCGTTGTTTCTAATGACCACCCATGCAATAATGGCAATGCCCGATTTACAACGGTACCCTAGAAACTTTAATCTTATCAAAAATGCGGGCATTACCGAAGTTTTCCTAATTGATTAAATTCAGAAAACTTCTAATAAGAAAGAAATCCGCAGGTCACTTTTGAATAAAAAATTAACATTTTAACGAAAATAAAACATGGACATCTTTTATCTAAATCATACTTGATCATTTTAAGGATACCGTTGTAAATCATACATACCCATCTTTGCTGTAATGAAGAATCACTTTAAGTTACGTTAACAGTCCAATTAACAACAGAAAAAATTTATTAATTTTCTTGCAAGCAAACTTAAAATTTAATTTTCTTTAATAGGAAAATTCGAACATATTATATCTGGAAGATTTTATTAAATAATATGACATTGTGTCATCCTTATTAAGGAAACCGTTAATCTTTTTTGGGAGTCGCTTTAAAAGTTAAGATTAAAAATTATTTTAATTTTTAGATTCTCATTTGCACACTTTAAATCACATGAAATCAAATCGTGCTTTTAGGGACGTCCTACACCCACACACCAAAATTGAAGTAACTATACTAAATCAATAATGAAGTGAGGTCTTACGATTGAGATAAATATGCCCAATCAAGAGGTAAAATACAGTAAAATTACTCACAATGGCGCTGTATTGATGATTGATTTACTGAATCCATCCTTGGAGAGTGTATCTACGTTAAGAGGCTGGGACTTGACCTCCTTCAGCACCTCAACCTCCTTCTCCTTTACTGCAGCAGCTGTTTTTTCAACCTCCTCCAAAGTTTTCCTGAACATTGATTGATTGAAAGTTCAGTATTTTATTATTTCAGAATGGATAGTTCAGGATGTGATCAAGAAGAAGAGGTAAAATGAAAACAAAGGTTGTTTCAGGGCACACAATTTACTGTAAAAGAATTTAAAGGGAAAACTTTTAACTTTTAAGTTTAAAATAAGAGACGTTTAACTCTTTTTCATTTTACAAAATGTAACCACATCTGACCTCAATTAACAATTAACAATAAATAAACCTTAAATCGTCCAGGTTGTCACTTCCCTCCGCCTCCTCCCTCGCTACTCTCTCCCTAACCTCCCTCAGTTTAGCCTCAATTCTTTTCTTCTCCTCCTCAACGGTTTCCTAATAAATAAAAATATTACAATTTTATTAAAACTCCGCCATGCTCCTAAAAACTTGATATTCATAAGAATTATCAAAAATTGTGCATTAGCAGAGTGTCATAATTCCCAGGAGGATGTGTTTTTTCTTACGGTGAATTCCAGATATATGAATACATAAACCGTCATAAGTTTTTTAATTATAAGAAACTTCTTTTTATTTTTGATTCAATGTAAATTGATAGCCCTGAAATATGAATTCATTGATATATTGATATTAAACTCATTTTTCCGCGGCATTTGATCTTAATTATCTAATACGATATTGTTAAAACTTTTGCTATATATTCATATATCTGGAATTCACTGTACCATATCACTTTTTTGATAGGAATTTTTTCCACAGAATTAACGAAAATAAATAATTTTTTGATCAAAAAAAGGGGGGGGGATAAACATACATATATTCATCAAAACATGAATTTAACCTTTTTCTTCTGCATTTCCTCCATCCTCTGAACCCTAGCCTCATGTCTCCATTTGAAGAGAGATGGAGTATCTATGTTTGGATGAGTATCATCCTCGTCATCAGATACCTGAACAATAAATCAATCAATGATGGGATGAGTACCATCCTGGTCATCAGATACCTGATCAATCAATCAATCAACCATCAGTTTTAAGGGTACCGTTGTGAATCGGACATTGTTATCTTTGCTTAGAGGGACACTTGACATTACGCTTTCAGTATCATTAAGGGGTTTATTAAAAACAAAGTTTAAGGATTATTGTTCCAAATTTTCCAACCTATGTAAACTATCTTATGGCCATGAATCATTCAGAAACCTTAGCGTACACCGAAACCGGAAAATGCATAAAAAAGGATTTTCATGAAGTTTATAACTTGAAGCGCCGCCAAGCAGCATGAATTTACCTCAATATGATCCCATTTTCTGTAGTCCACCATATTGATTTTTATTATTCTGAAAATACATTGGAATAATAGTAACATTTTGAGTAAATTAACACAAAAAAAAACATTGTAGAACATTTCTAAAAACGAGTTACACAGCTGGGGTATCTAACAAAAACCTAGTAAAAATAACAAGCGGCGGGTGGAAAATCAACATAAACCAATCGGTTCTTATTACATTTGTGCACATAAACATTAATAAAGACAAATATCCAACAAATTATGTTACAAAATGTAAAAAGTTTCACAACAATAGTTTGAGTTTCATAATATTTACATATACAAGGAAGGCATATGGCAAATGTAAATTAAAAGAAAAATAATACAAAAAAATACAGAAAATATTGTAAATCTATAATATGTATATATAATTTGTTTGTCTGGGTGTCTGTTTGTTTGTTTGTATCCAATAAACGTCAAAATGGCTGAACCGATTGGGCCCAAATTTTTGTAGGACCTGACGTGACCTCAGGGAAGGTTTATGAATGATTGGATTTTCAAAAATTTGCCTCTAAAAATCTAATTTTTGAAAATTTTGAAAATTTACGATTTTTTTTTTATAAAATTCTCAAAATTTAGTTTTTTTTCTGTTCTACAATGTATACAAAAAGACCATGTTCACAATTGAAATAGAAGATGGGCGCGAAGCGCCCTAAAAGCCTAGTAATGTGAAAATTAACATAGCATATAGGAGATACTTTGATTGCAGGCACTTGCAGAACTCAGAAAGCCTTATTTTGATTAAATAGTTTAACCAACTTTTTTTGGAAATTGTAAATTTTTCCTAGGATTTAAAATCTGAATATAATTGGGGAAAACTATCGAAATCTGACATTTTACGTCATATCTTTGGTTTTATTACTATTTTTCAAATTCATGAATCTGAAGTTTCAAAATTTAAAATAAGTTTTTCCAAACGTTGTTTATCTTAATGAGTTGGATCAATCTTCTAAATTCTTCATTGTCTTCCCGAGTTTACAGGAGAAGACGACCCCAAATATCTGTTCGATTATTCATGTTGTTATCACGTTGATTAAATAAATTAAAGAGGAATAAAGAATGATGAAGAATATATGAAGCATAAATTAAGAGTGAAACTATTTCATAGAAAACGTCAAATCCTTTTTGCACTCACAAATAATTAGTAGAAAATTAGAAGCAGCATTTATAAAAGAAACAAAATGAAAAAAATCATCTCAATCAATAATTAACGATTTAAAAAACAGCGATCATACGGAGAGGTCGATTTTTTTAATTTTCACAACATGTTAATACAGTTTACGTTCTTCGATTTTAAAAAATTGACAAATTAAACCTTTCTGAACTCAGTGTTTCAAGACGAATATTTTGATACCTATGTAGATTTATTTTGACAAAATTCTGGCATACATTTGTGATTTGATCTACATAAATCTTTTTTTTTAAATGTATCAAAGATAACTTTTGAACTGGTGCAAGGTGGATTTGAGATTTTTATCAAAAAAGTGCCAAATGATGTCACCCTTACATAAATGGTTAAATCAAAAATGAATGATAAAAAACTGAAGGATTAAATAAAAATAAAAAATTGACTGAAAAAAAGGATAAAACAAATGAATGAATGAATGGATGAAAGAATTAGTTGAAAGGATGAATAAATGAATAAGTCCCTGAATAAGAGCAACGGTGAGAGCAACGGATCCAAGAAGAAGAAGATGAGTGGAAGCTAGAGAACCAAGACTCTCTCCGCAACCTACATCAAGACGACATATAAAAAGCCACCAAGATATATAAACCTCCCCTTTAAAAAAGGCTGGAAGTAAATGGGTTATGATTATGAAAAGAGAAATGATAGATTAGTTTTTAAAATGTGGAGTGTGTCTGTAAACCCTCCCTTATCTTATATTTTTAATAGTTTTAGCCCATCGAGTTTAGGTATAAATAAGCATTATTGGAGAACTAATGGAGATCCCTTTCAGTGCTCCCAACAACCATCTTATCAGAGACCCCAAGATTAATAATTGCAATGGTTGGGGTCTTTTATGATAAATTTACTACTAAGGGTCTCCATGAAAATCAGCGTCTGGACCAGTGAAATCTATGATTTTCAGGGATTTATTCAGGCCTCGATGGGAGCTAAGCCACACCTGGTGAAAACAAAACAAATAACCCCCTCTCGACATATTCAAGAATACGCCCCTGTGTCACGTGTTGGAGTCATCGTAAGTACTCCAACAATGATTATTTCTTCCCAGACTACAATAAATATATTTTTTCACAAATTCAAAGATAAACACATTAAGAATTAATATGAAACAAACATATATGTTATGATAAAAAATATTGAACCTGTATAGTAGATATTACTGGGATGGTCTCTGACTCCGCATAATCTAGAAACTGTTTTGCAACAGGAGTCAGGAACCTAAAAAAAAACAAATTCTTTCTTGATTTCTTCTATTCTAAAATCTAAAATAACTAATTTATCTGTTACCTACAAAAAAGTAATTTATCTTTAACTGATTACAGAAAATTATTCGCGCCCCTTATTCAAATTGATTGATTGATAGTTTTAAATTTTGATTTAATTACTTCTCTTATCTCATTTTCTAAAGCACTCCAGATAGCACTCCCCCGCTAACCAAATAGGTTACTATCTCTGAAGTACTCTCCTGCGCCCTGTCTGATTACTCCCTCTTAATCCTGAAATGTTCCCTTGACAGTAATCTTTCTGCCACCTACCTGAAAACTCCATTTTATCACTACTGTACTCCCTCTACATTTGTGACCTACCTGATTACTACCTCTAATCCCTGAAGTACTCCATACAGTGCTACTCCAGTCCTCGAAGGATTGAGCCCCACAACAATGGAGTCCTTTCTGAAATTCCGATTGGATTTTTAATTGGTTTTTTTAATTTATCAACCTATTTCTGTATTAAGTTTACATTGGAAGGATTATACATTCCAAAGAATGTATGGACACAGAATTACTTCTGGAAACAAACTATTTCTGTATTAAGAAATATACAGTGAAACCTATACAGCTGTGGAATTAGTAGACGACCATTAAACTCAATTTATGATTTAAGATATCCAATGAACATAAAAAAACACATATTGTGCAGTGTACACAGACCAATTATACTTATAAGTTGACGATTCTTTAAGCTAATATTCAAACTATTTACTTTTAAAGAACATTGCTTAATGGTGTCTTCCTATTCCAGAGTTTTATGGTAAAAATATCTTATTTTGTCTTGATTAAAGATAAAAAAATTCATCAAACAAACCTGTAGAGTATCAATAGCAGCTGTTGTTGAGTTGTTTATCCCGTACTGCTCTGTTATTGTTTTGTTTAGGACAGAAACCAGTTCATGGTGTACATCATGTCTGTACACATACGCTGCCAATCCACCTAAATTCCCAATATATGTTAAAAAGTCAATTTCTTTAGTATACCTAAATACAAGAACTGTAAAAACGACGGTTTAATTCTAGTGTAAGATTTTTGCGCCCCCCCCCCCCCCCAGCATCCCTGATTTATGTACACGCGATTTCAACTTTTTTAATTTAACTGTGACGAGGGGGGGGGACCAGAAGTTCTCAACGAGTTATCAACGCCACCCAAATGTGTTTTGCGGCAAGCGCGCTCCTTAATTAGTAATCTCCACCACCTCAATTTGTAATCGTTTTTTGAAATTTCAAGTTAATGCATTTTAAACACAATTTTCGACATCTATTGGGGTTTCATGGCATCTCAGTTGACTGAACTAAATTTTCAATTTGTTTTCAGCAGATTTGTTTGGTCAACAAAAACTGAGAAACAAAGTAAAGTTATTTTGGCCGAATTTTAGATCCAATTCGCTCATTTAATGACTGCATTTCATGATTGGAGTTAAGATACTAAAAGGTCGGGCTGCCTGTTTACTAAGAATTATCTCATCCCACGCAAAGTAATATCCATCTCTATTTAAATATTTTCAAAACACCTTTACGGTGTTTAGATTACTCACTATTAGGTTAGGTTAAGGACCGAGCACTGTGACTAGGCCATAAACAAATGTGTTACATATAAGATGCATGTACAAAAATGATATGAGGGGAGTGGGAAATCCTTTACTAAAAATTATTAAAACGACCACTAAACAAAATAATTTTTATGGCCAACTTAATTTTTATTTAACTCCTTTTGTCTTATTTAATTCAATATTAATCTGGCTGGATAGAATTTAAAAATTATAAGATATTTGCAATTTATTAAAAGATTTGTCTTTATAAAAAGACTAATTTTTTTTATATTTGTCTAATAAAATATATTTTTATCCCATTGAAAAACTGTCCCGCTTTTCAACCAATAGTTGACAAGTGTCAAGTTGAGGGGGAGTGGAACTGATGACAAAACTGAAGTATAATACTTTTTTCCCTCAAACCCAGGACATCAAAAGGCCAATTTTAAGTCCTTTTCATACTTAATACTAAAAAATATATATTTTTCCAATAAAAATCATCTAGTTTCCCCAATTCAGATGATAAAACCCTAAACCCATCCCAAATCTTCAGCCACAAAAAATTGCTTTTTAAAAAGGGGGATGGATTAGAAGGTATACACTATACAGTATACAGTATACACACCTGATATTTCAACAATAATCATGAGAGCACAGAGGGTTCCGTACACAAACATTAACAAATGGCTTTCTCGACTGAACAAAAAATCATAAGAGAACAAACACATGTACCGTGAGTCTCTGAAAAAAGTGTGTTTAATCTGTTTTGCTTACTAAACGTCGCTTTTTTGTACAAAAAAAATGCAAAGCCTAAACACACTTTTTCTTAATCTTTTTTCAGTTTTACTTTCATATCTACTTAAAAATCAGTTCGTGGGAAAACATAAGGAAGGAAATACAAAAAAAGGAAAGAAGAAAACAAATTGTGATTTTTGGCAAATTATGACAAAATTTAAGCTTTAATTATATAATTAAAAAGAAAATCCAAGTAATTGATCAATTAAACTAAATTTTTAACATTGGAATTCTAAAAGTTAAAAAAAAAACCTAACCTGATTCCACAGCATCCGATGAGAGTGGTGAAAACTATGAAAGCCCCCAGGCCTAGTCCAATATAAGCCAGGATCGTGTAAGTACTCGAGTATGGAGCAACTATCTAACAATAAAATAATTTGCTTTCAAGGAAAACCTGTAAATATGGATATTGTTATTATATTTATTAACTTGAGTATGTGACAACTATCTACACAATAAAATAATTTGCTTACAATGAAACCCAGTAAATATGGATATTATTATTATATTTATAAACTTGAGTATGGAGCTACTATCTACACAATAAAATTATTTGATTTTATGGAAAAACTGTAAATATGGATATTGTTATAATATTTATAAACTTGAGTATGTGACAACTATCTACACAATAAAATAATTTTCTTTCAAGGAAAACCTGTGAATATGGATATTGTTATTATATTTATAAACTTGAGTATGGAGCAACTATCTACACAATAAAATTATTTGCTTACAAAGAAAAACTGTAAATATGGATATTGCTATTATATTAGTCCATTATAGGCCAGGAGAGTGTAAGTACTTGAGTATGGAGCTACTTTCTACTCAATAAAATTATTTCCCTTCAAGGAAAAATTGTAAAAATGGATTTAAAATTATATTTATATATCTTAAACATTTGTGTACATAAATAAGAGAGTAAAGCATCCATCTTAAACATTTGTGTACATAAATAAGAGAGTAAAGCAACCATCTTAAACATGAAGGTACAGTGACGTACACATATATGAGTGTACAAGATTTCAGTAAATAAACTTTGATGTACATACGTAGAATGGGAAAGATATTAAAAAGAATTCAACGGCACTATTCATACTTGTTTTGTTCACATGACTATGTGTGTAATACTTTAAGACCCATACAACTGTAAAATATGAAGGGATATTGTCTGGTGTCGGGTTTAATGACCAGAAACACAGATATTGTGCAGTGTACACAGACCATTTTCACTTTCTAACTAAATTAACAACTTGTGGTAAACCCAATTGCTTTAGGANCTCTCATTTTTAATCTCCAGATTAATCATCCGATCAGGATTAAGGATATCCCATTCAAAAGTTTTCAGCTCTTATTACTTAAGGACAAGTTCGCGATAAAGTGCTGAAATGGCGAACTCCTGACCCACAATTTATGGGTTCAACTGAATGTAATATGAATATTTATGATAAAAATCTAGAAATAAGATCCAGAACACTAAAATCCATGCTACGATCAAAGTTCCGAATCCTTAGCGGCAAATGTTGGTTGTTCAGCCTGGAATTTTTTATTGCTGTATGGGTCTCAACTATTTTACAGATAAAAAAATGTGTTAGCACCAACTTGTACAGTTATTTTGATCACTTGAGTCAGGGCCCGACTCCAACGGTAACCATCAAGCTGTCCTCATGAATTGGAATGTATGTACAATGTACATTGCACATGCTAAAATTGTAAAAAAAATAACAAAAACTGAAAAAAGGGGTGAAAATGTTTTATCTCTGGAAAAATTTACGATTCTAATAAATTATAATCTCTTGCGTTTCTCGTTACACATTGCATTAAAATCCCTTCCACTTTGAATCGTGTCAAAATTGTAAATATTTCTTTCATTTGCTATTAACCGTTGTAATGCGTGTTTACAACATTTCAGAACAATTTTTTAACATTAATTAGGAATGTTTTGGCAAGGGCATTACAAATTATCCATTCTACGATCTACGCTTCGAAGAAATATTGATTGATTGACAATTTAAAATGGAGATGCCGTTTGCGAGGAAATAACTTGTTTTCCGTCTTCTCCAGAACAGAATTCTTATAATCTTATTAATTCTGTACCTGTTTTATCCTCTCCTGGTTTTGAATTTGGATTGTGATAATTATAATTTCGCGACATTTTTAAAATCTAAGTGAATACAAATGTTGTCAATATCTATATAATAAAACAAGACATTCATATAAATATGTTGCCTATAGACGGCCAAACGGCTGGACCGGATGGGCTGAATTTTTGAGAGAACCCATGGGTGCCCCACGGGTAACATTGGCTAAAAAAATTCTAAATTTTTTTCTTTACAAAATTCAAAAAAAAAATTGTATATTGTATATAAAAATGTTCAAAATCACATATTAATTTTACATTATTAATTTTACATTAATTATCACATTTTTGTTCCTGAAACTGTAAAAATACATTTTATTTTGATTTGATCATAAAAAAAATCAGACTGAGAAAAATACATTAGACAAGATGCGATCACAAATTGTAAACAAAAATTTAGTTGAAAAATGCATAAAATGAAAAAAAAAATCAATATTCGATTTCTTGGCGACGCCGAGTTATCCGTGCTGGTATATATCTCACTCCACCATCCCCTTTCAAATTTTCTTGTTTTGCTTCCAAAAATTGCATAAAGTGAAAAAATAATAAGTTTAGCATAATAACGGTAAGATTTTTTATTTAAATGTAATTGCTTTGGCGGAAATTATTTTACTTAAGGGAACCCGTGAACGCCATTACGACATTGTTTATCTTTTTACAGAAAAATCAACACATTTTCCGAGACCCCTGTAATGTAACTGACCTAGAAAAGGGTAGAGGTAGAATATTTTATTGAGATCAAAGGAGACCGCCCAGAACTGTTTCCGGCGTCCACTCACAGCCTTATATCTGGTAAAAAAAATTATCCATTCCTTTATAAAAAGCTGGTTTTTGGTATGCAACAATTTTCATTTAATCCCGCCGGGATATTTTCATTGAAAGATACTTTGAAAATCTACAAAGGCAAACAAAAATCCGCAAAATCCACAAGACCTAGGGTTTATCATTGAATCCCCTCTTTAAAAAGGAATGTCATTTACTCGCAGACAAATTAAAATCAATGGAAATTAAAACCCCCTCGGGATTCAATGATTGATTCTAATTTGTCTGAGAGTAAATGATACATTTATGCAATCACATTTTCACATTCTCACATTCTCACATTTTCACATTTACACATTTAGACATTTAGACATTTTCACTTTTTCACCTTTTCGTATTTTCGTATTTTCCCATTTTCCCATTTACACATTTTCCCATTTACACATTTACACATTTACACATTTACACATTTACACATTTACACATTTACACATTTACACATTTTGACATTTTGACATTTTGATATTTTCATATTTTTATTACAATCCGGGTGCACTTTAAAGGGTCTATCGACGTATTATCAAGTTAACCTCTACTTAGAGAGTTGTCAATCTGATTCAGGATGGTACCCATTAGAAGTGGGTATAAGGAAGGAAGGAGGAGAAGGTTTAAGGAAGGAGGGGGTATAACGAAGAGATGAGGAGTGGTTTTTAAGAGGGCAGGGGGGGGGGGGGGGGGGGGGGGGTCAAGGAAGGAAGGAGAAATTTTCTTAACAGGGACTTTCAAAACGGAGAAATGAGAATAGAAAGAAAATTATAAGAAATGTCAAATTTTTATGACAAAAACAACGATATCTCCCTCATCGTTGAAAACAGTATTGAGGAACTGTTGTGAGTCGAATATGTCACTATATATGCGGGTCACTTCAGAAAAGTTGTAAAGTTTTGGGCAACACGTTTTTTAGCTTTTTTTTTTAGAGAAAACAGTATAAATCATAGATTAATTAACAATAACAGAAAGGACACTAGTTGTCGCCTTTTCAAGATTTATGGATTTTTCGTTCACAATAACCCTGAGACAGAAGCCCAAAGAAGTTCCGCGCAGGCAGCGTTGAATTACAAGACAGAGAGAAAGCATGCGCTGCATGCGCGGAACTCCTTTGAGCTTCTGCTTCAGGATTATTGTGAAAGAAAAAACCCCTAAACCTTGAAAAGACGACATCTAGTGTCCTATCTGTTATTTGTTAAGTAATCTATAGTATAAATACATAAGAGGTGTATTTTTGCATCATTTCATAACTGAACAAATAAGCTTTTGCTTCTTTATGCAAAATTTTAAAAAATGTTTATTTATTTTTCTAAATTATAAGATCTCCTCTTTAAGGATGAATGATGACAAAAATACACAATTTCGGTGTTTCTTTATTTTAGTAACAGAACCGTTTTTTGTTATTTGATCAACTTATCAAGTAGAAAGAGTCTGTGTTCGTGCACTGAATAATTGCTGAGATTTACAAAAATATCCAATTCAAACTGTGCAAAACCCTGTTAAGGAATTGATAATGAAGTCTTACTTTGTTTGTTTGACTTGTTCTGATACAGCCAGCTGAGCAGAGTCAAATACTTTCTGCAGGATAGGGGTCAAACTAGCCCTAAATATATAGGTTAGGGGTCAAACTAGACCTAAATATATAGGATAGGGGTCAAACTAGCCCTAAATATATAAGATAGGTGTCAAACTAGCCCTAAATATATAGGATAGGGGTCAAACTAGCCCTACCAATAAACCTTGAGGTAGAAAACCTATAAACCTACCTATCTACATCTGGAAATAGGAAACCAATAAACCTACCTATCTACATCTTGAGGAAGGAAGGAAACCAATAAACCTACATATCTACATCTTGAATTAGGAAACCAATAGACCTACCTATCTACATATTGAGAAAGGAAACCAATAAACCTACCTATCTACATCTTGAAGTAGGAAACCAATAAACCTACCTATTACATCTTGAGGAAGGAAACCAAAGAAACTACCTATCTACATCTTGAGGAAGGAAAACAATAACCCTACCTATCTACTTCTTGGGGAAGGATACCTATAAATCTACCTATCTATATCTTGAGGAAGGAAACCAGAAAAACCTATCTATCTACTTCTTGAGGAAGGAAACCTATAAACCTGCCTACCTACATCTTGAGGAAGGAAACCAATAAACCTACCTATCTACTTCTTGAGGTAGGAAACCTATAAACCTACCTATCTACATCTTGAGGTAGGAAACCTATAAACCTACCTATCTACATCTTGAGGTAGGAAACCTATAAACCAACCTATCTACTTCTTGAGAAAGGAAACCAATAAACCTACCTATCCACATCTTGAGGAAGGAAACCTTTAAACCTACTTATCTACATCTTGAGGAAGGAAAACAATAAACCTACCTATCTACATCTTGAGGAAGGAAACCAATAAACCTACCTATCTACTTCTTGAGGAAGGAAACCTATAAACCTACCTATCTACATCTTCAGGTAGGAAACCTATAAACCTACCTTTCTACTTCTTGAGAAAGGAAACCAATAAACCTACATATCTACTTCTTGAGAAAGGAAACCAATAAACCTACTTATCTACATATTGAGGAAGGAAAACAATAAATCTACCTATCTACATCTTGAGGCAGGAAACCTATAAACCTACTTATCTACATCTTGAGGAAGGAAACCAATAAACCTACCTATCTACATCTTGAGGAAGAAAACCAAGGTTAACTGCATCTTCTACAAGACCAGGCACATCTCCTTGCATCAAATGAACGATTGTCAATGTCATCGTCTTTGTGTCCTTAATAAAACAATGAATAAACATAATCAAAGAAAACTGTATTTTTTACGTCGTGCCGATTGTAATATATAATTAAAGTGGCTCAGGCCGTAAATTTAAGGGAACCTCCATTAATAAAGTGGCATGTTTGAGCTACAAGGGTACCATTTAAATTCATTGCTGGTCAAGGATGCAGGAGTTATCTATGGTTTTAAACCTAAAACTTGTAGTTTCTTGATTAAATAAACTTTTCGGATTTATACTCCAGAAGCAATTCAAATGAATAGGTTCTCTGATGGAAAAACGAGGATATCTTCCTCACTGATACTGAGATCACTAATTTTGTGAATCGGACATGCGGTAAAACCTTATAGGTGACTGGCTGAGTCCCTTTAGCCAATGCCATCCATGAAGATAATTCAACAAATATACAAATTTGACCCCCCCCCCCACATAGAAAACGGATCTTGTACACACTGTGTACACTGTGTACAGTTAGAGCCTGTCACATCTCCAAATGTACACAATACAACTGTACTATCAGCAATTTGTCAGTCTCCAAGTAATAATGGTACAAAGATCTTAGTTCAGGATATGATCACAGGAGAGGATGGAAGTCCAACGGATATAGTCCTAGAAGAAGGAGTAAAGTCCACGGATGAATTCTCAGTACAATTGGAGAGAGACTGGACTTTAGAATAACGAGATAATGCAGTTTAAATGTGTTATTTAGAATATCGAGATAATGCAGTTTAAATATGTTATTTAGAATATCGAGATAATGCAGTTTAAATATGTTATTTAGAATATCGAGATAATGCAGTTTAAATATGTTTTTTAGAATATTGAGATAATGCAATTTACATATGTTATTTAGAATATCGAGATAATGCAGTTTAATTATGTTTTTTAGAATATCGAGATAACTCAGTTTAAATATGTTATTTAGAATATCGAGATAATGCAGTTTAAATATGTTCTTTAGTTTTCTTAATCCTAATTTTGAATCTATTTATTTCAATTAAATTTATCTATATTGTAATTTATTTGAACCAGATCCGATCTAGAACAAAATAAATATTCTGAAGAAATCTGCATCTAACTTTCTGTTCAATGTAAATTAAAAAGGGTCTTAAAATCACCCTGTGTATCAGTCTATAACTAGATTTTACACATGCCAATCTAAACATATGAAAGGTACCTTCAAAAAAACGCCTGAAGTCCCTTTAAACCTATTTTTGTTCTCTACCTGAATAGGTACATCTGCCATTAGTCCGAAATCTATGAGAGCAAGTCGGCCATCTTGAGTGACCAGAAGGTTTCCAGGGTGCGGGTCAGCGTGGAAGAAACCAGTTTCAAGCAACTAAACAAGTGATGCGTTGGCAATTGCAGTACAATATTCAGATTGATTTAAATTGAAATTTCTTTTATTTGTTATGATACATTTCCAAAAACTAACTTTTTCCTTAAATTTGATTAATATATTCCCCAAAAAATAAATATAGTAATTAAAATAGTAAATAAAAAATATGAATTAGTTTCAGACATCATTGAAGACCTGAATTAAGAAGCACTCTACTCCAACTGGAATAAGTCTATTGATAACCTCAGCACTGGACTTAGCTAACTGATTCCCTTCAATCCATTCTGTTACAAGTACCTAGAATAATATAATTTTAAACTCAACTCGTGAAAATAATGTTTAGTGACTTAGAGTTAATCTTCTTTTTTGGCTTTTTTAAAATATTACATTTTAGGAATGATAATTCTTTAAATGGATTTTAAATAAAATCCAGAAATGGAATACTAAGGTAAGTAGTCTAGGGTGTCTCAAAACCACAGCTGTTTAGGTTTTTCCAATTCTCCTAGGTTCCCTGAGTCCAAATATAGTAATATAAAGTCTGTGCGACAACTAACTTAGGTACATGTAAAATTTGAAAATTTAGATTTTTTGTGAATTTTCATTTAAGAAAGACATACACAAGCCCCATCATGGTGGTATGTAAAAGCAATTGATATTTTTTTTCACGAAAAAATGAGAAGCTTAAATGTTTGTGAAAATTGAATTTTAGTGAAATTTCAAAATTTACATCTACCTAAGTTTAATGTCTCACAAACTTGTAAATGCTATTTTTGGACTCCGGGGGTCTAAGAGAATGGGGAAAAAGTCTCCACTAGAGACACCCCTAGAAACACCACAAATATCAGGATAATATTTTTGAGACACCCCTAGAAACACCACAAATATCAGGATAATATTTTTGAGACACCCCTAGAAACACCACAAATATCAGGATAATATTTTTGAGACACCCCTAGAAACACTACAAATATCAGGATAATATTTTTGAGACACCCCTAGAAGCACCACAAATATCAGGATAATATTTTTGAGACACCCCTAGAAGCACCACAAATATCAGGATAATATTTTTCAGCAAGAAGTTCATATTCACATGAATTTTTAGTTTACAAAAAAATTAGTAAACTTTAATAATTCACTTACCTTTCTTGTTGTATACTTTGAGTAAACTTGAGGAATATAAATCTTATTTTTCAGTCTAGGTTCTAGCTCAGCCTATACAAACAAAAGCAAATAATTATTCAAAACAATATCTAATCATTTCATCAAATCAAATCTTAATGAAAACATTTTTTAGTTCCATCCTATCTATTGATACCGTGAAGACTCCAAATACAAAAGAATAAAAAATTCAAATTAAAAAAAATGATATTTTTTTATTTTACGTAATATGTGATTAAGTTTTTATACAATCCTCCAACTGAGAGAGGGATGGAGGGGATTATAAACGTGATTTAAAATGAAACCCTCCTTCTATCCAGTATCCACTGGCATGTCCGATTCACAATGGGACTCTCAAAACCTTTTCCTGATCATGGATGAATGATCAGTTATTCTCAATTTATACTGCCGGTAAAAATGAAGGAAATAAACAGAAACTGCAATATTTTAGATAGAATAACTACGATATTACCCCAAATGTTTTTCAGATAGAGATCTAAGGGAACCATTGTGAATCGGAAATGCCGATCTATAATTGAGGGGTTACTTGAAATTACATTTCCTGTACAATTCCAGGAAAATTATTGACATGCTTAAACATTCACGATTTTTCTTTAGAAAAAAAAAAAAAAAAATTAAAAATTAATGGTTTACCTTGCATCTTATCTGATTAGAAGCTTCGTTTATATAATCCAACTCCTTGAGTGTAGCGTTGGCAAAGGTGTCCAGCAATGCGACGTCGTAGGGTCGCTGATTGGATAGTTTAGTTTTAATCCATTGAATTGCACCGGCTAGACCACGCATTATGTAAATGTCCCTGTGTAAAGAAATGAGTAAAACTTCGATTATTAAATTCTTTTAAATTTAAATATTTATATTTTATGCTATAACCTAGAGGATTTTCCTTTCTCAACTCTTTTTAGTGTAAAGAAATTGAAATTGGCGGGAGAAATCATCTTACATTTACATTAATTTTTCTTAAACCAAACTCAACTCAACAGTATAAATAAATAAATAAATAAATAAAACAATGATAAAACAGATATTAAACAATAATGAAAACTTGCGATGAAGCACATAATCCGTCAATCTGTAAACCTTAGCTAACTCGTTTTCTCCAACTTTCAAAGATAAAAACAAGGAGTTAACTTAATCCGTTCGTATAAGAGATTAACATTAATAAGTTTCGACCTGTGATGTATAGACAAAGGTCGTATGAAATATCCGGTAAAACAATATCATCACCTTAGAACGTAATGATGCATGTCCGGTCTCTGAACCTTGACCCCCACCAGGCTACCGTCTTTATCGGTCAGTTTCACCTTGTACACTTGACCCAGGGATGCAGCTGCTATAGGACTAAAGGTAGAAAACATTTAAGGATAATTATGAAGAGTATTAAATGAAAAGAATTTAAGTTGAAACTATCTCTCGGTATTACAATCAAACAATGCAGAGAAAATACAGATTTTTCTTCTTTTTTCAGATTGATTTCCAGAAACAAGATTATAGATATTAAAGGGACTGTAAACGTCATTTAAAGTGACAATTTAAAATTAACCTTGATACCTTCATCGGAGACAAAATAACAAAGATATTCTCGCTTATCTGTATGGAAACTTTAAATTGTGGGTTCTCTTTAATTGGAGGGGTTCACTTTAAAGTACTCAACAGACTATTCAAAGAGAAAAGTATAAATCACTAGAACATGCAGAAATAAGGACTTTTCATTCATTACACTTCATTTTTTAGCTTTAAGAAAATATTTGAATCAAATATAGAATGAATGTTGATTATGACATAGAATTCCTTCTCTACCTAGTACTAGCGTCTAAATCCTGAAACACGTCTGCTACTTTAACCCCCAGTTCAGATTCAATAACAGCAATAGCATCTACTGTCGGATAACTAGGAACTGAAAATATTAAGATAATTTATTAAAGTAGGCTTTAACAAGAGAGACAAATTTTAAAGTAGTTCAAAATAAAAGAAAAACTCGTAATAGCTTGAAGTAATAAATAATAGATGAATAACAATGAAGGTTAATTATTAAACTTTATAGATCTTCATGTAATCTGAAAATGTCTGAAACAACTTGATAAAAAGCAGGCGTTGAATCTAAGACATTTTTCCATATCTCAATAAATAATGGTGTTAGCCGGTTCTACTTTTGCTAACACCATTATTTATTGAGATATGGAACAATGTCATAGATGCAACGCCTTCTTTATGGCAGCTAAGCAGTTACAAGTTAAGTAAGTCAAATTGAGTCAAGATATAATTAAAAACTATACCTGCATCACAAAGTTTTTGAAGTTCAAACAAAAAACTTGAAGGAAGAATATCAGGACGGATTGATATTGCTTGTCCTAGTTTAATAAAACATGGTCCTAACTCAGTTAAAATCTCCCTAAATAGAAGAATATTAGGACGGATAAAGACTGCTCATACTACTTTGATAACAAATGGTCCTAACTCTGTTGAAACCTCCCGAAAATAGAGGATTATTACTACGAAATAAAACTGCTCGTCCTAGTTTTAAAAAATGGTCCCAACTCTGTCAAAATCTCCCTAAAATAGAAGAATATTAGGAAGGATTGAAACCGGTTGACCTAATTTGATCAAACATGGTCCTAATTCAGTTAATATCACCTAAAATTGAGGAATATTAGGACAGATTGAAATAGTTTCTCTTAATTAGATAAAAAATGGTCCTAACTCAGTTAAAATCTCCCTAAAATAAGAGTAAGATGTTTTTCCTAGTTTGACAAAACGTAGTGAAAACTTTTTTAATGAGAGGAATTCATGGATTATTCGAGTGAGAGATTTTAGCATAAAAATAACACAATTACGACAAAGCAATCAAAGAAATGGGGACCAATACTCCCGACTGTCAACATAATTAATTTTACTTTCAGAAAACCTATAAATATAATGTAAATATCACTATCTGGTCTGGTAATTATGTACTTTGGTAGACTCTTTAATTTTTGAGGAAAAACAATGACAAATATGGGGCAGATGTAATTAGATAACTTTGTTGTAAGTATGGAGTGAATATTTTATTGAAAAATCATTTCACCCCTCCCCCCCCTCTTTGGAAATTCTTTTTTTTTCCAATGAAGAAATTTTTCTATGGTTTTATTCGCTTTATTGAGGAAAAAAGATTTATAGGGAAAATAAATAAGATTTTGGGTAAAAAGTATGAAAAAGAGTGAAAAAGAGTGAAAAAGAATGAAAAAGTATGAAAAAGAATGAAATAGAAAGAAAAAGAATGAAAAAGAAAGAAAAAGTATGAAAAAGAATGAAAAAGAATGAAAAGAATGAAAAAGTAAGAAAAAAATGAAACAGTATGAAAAAGTATGAAATGGAAAAAAATGAAAAAACTTGCATTTTGATAATTTCCAATTTTTAATTTTTTCCCCAGACCTTCAAAAATATTTCTTGAAAATATACACACCTGGTATAAAAAGTGTGGAAGTTCTACTCACCTTAGTCTAATAGCATATTTTTTCTGTAGGCCTTCATGGTCCTGTATTTTTCCTCGAATAAGATATTCCCAAACCAGTACTTTAGCAACATATGGAACTGAAATATTAGCAATCAATCCATCTCCAGAGCTGAAAACTTTAGAACTGTGGATATCGAGATCTTAATCTGCCGATTAATTTTATCTTACATGAAACCATCCAGAAAAGTGTCTTAAATTCAACCAAGTGTCGATTGCAGAAACCGAACATACAATCAGAATGTTGAAATTTTGCGTCCAATCAATTAGAGAAATATCATTGCTCGGAACCTGGGAGGGATATCCAAAGAAAGAATTTAGCAGAAAATCAAAAGCGTGCCTTCTACAGTGGATTAAGAGATTTAGCAATAGAGATAAAGGCCAGGTACTTTTTGAATAAAAAAAAATATAAAAGAAAATATTCCTATTCGAATGTTCATAATAATTAACATTTAGAATATTATTTTTCACTAATCTATCGATGCAAATATAAGCGTGTGAACAGTTATAATTAATAACTTTTTATCAATCTATTAATGTCTATTTGTTTCATGGAAAATAAAAAAAATCAGTAAAGCAAGTTTATATATTTACCTATTTTGTTAATTATCTCTAGAGTTCTTAAAATAATCTCTCCAGGCCGATCTTTAAAATATGATTTCATTCGACCAATATTATAGTCCTAAAAATAACATTTTTTAAGAATATTTCTTGTTGCTTTCATTATACTGAGTCGAGATTATCAAATTGCACATTTATCAAATTATTAATAATTTATTTTTGTTAAATTGTTTTTGGTCTTTATCTGCCGCTGAATTTAGGTTCAAATAAAAGTTCTTCTTCCTCAAACTTTTATTAAGAAAACATAATTCAATGTTGTAATCAAATTTGATAATCAAAAATCCCAGGGTTAAATAATAATTAAGGTCGATGTAAAAACTGATAATACTCACCAACGGTAATCCATCAATTGTATCTTCGTTTTCAAATTTGTAAATAGGTCCAATCTCAGGGTTTTTGCTTTCTAAAACATATAAAATTTAAATAAGACACAAACACGGACGCGATTTAATCCTTTTCATTTAAGATATGTTTTAAAACACTTTCTGGGCATTCGAGCGCTTCGATCAAAGTTCAGGAAATTCAGCTTATACAACAGACAGATATTCAATATGGTTCTACAGACTGCTTAAACTGAATATAATATGAAGGGGGGGGGGGTAAAATTCGTACAATTGACATATACTACCTTTACATACCAATATATCCAATTGCAAGCGCTGAACCTCCCAGTGCTGACGCAAAAGCAAAATTTTTTGTGAACTTATTTCTAAATCTTGGTCTTCTTAACCTCGTTCTTGTAAGATTTAGTTTAGTTGAATAACTGTAGGGATTGGTTTGTAGAACTAATCTTAAACGACCACAAAACATTTTTTTATGCGATTCAATTCTAAAATGTTATAAATTCATTATGGCATTGTTAAATAAAAAGTTAAAACCCATGGACAAATAAATAATTAATAGTGCATGAACTATGCTTTATCTTTAAGCACCAAAGCAACTAAACTAGGTCAAAAACCGAAATTCATGCTTTAATAACAGCGATCAGCTGATTTTATTATTGTGTAATATATTATATTGCGTAATCTACGAAGACGATATTTAAACAGATGATGCACCAGTTTTTCTTAAAGATCTGACATTTAGAAGGCAAATTTGGTCAATCACTTAAGTTTTATGACAAAGATATATAGAAGTAAACTAGAACATAAACTCGACGTACCTTTAGCCATAATGAAGGGAAGTCACTGTTGTTATTATTTTAATGCGCATTTTACAAAGACGACGTTTTAGAACATTTCTATAAAATGAAAGTTTGCGCATTTTATAAGATTGGAACCATATAAACCGACCTACGAGAGAGATGACATATAGAGTTTTTGACACTAAGGATATAAAATGGACTTGATTAGTGTAAATATCATATGATGACTTTAAAATGAAATTTAATCATAAATGGTAGATTTACAAATGCTTGCAAATGGAATAAAATTTGATGAAGTAAAATTTTAAGAACAGATAGGGAAGATGTTTAATCTACAGTGGTAAAAACAAGTAATTATTTGGCAATTTGATAATCCTCTAAGGACAACAGAAGATCTTAATCGAAACCTTTCTGATGTGAAAAGTCGGTAGGTCGGTTCCCGTAGCACCTTAAAATCAATTCTCTTGAGAAAAAGCGCGGCATCAGAGGCAATGTGCGCCTTATAAACAAATTGAACTCCGTATTCGTTAATACATGTTTTCAACATTCTTAGGAGTCCTTAAAGTTTGATTCAATAAAAAATAGATAAATAATACGCACAGAAAATAAGATGTTCTATATTTTAACCGAATATTTTTCTGTGGGATTGCACTGAAAGGGTTAAACTAAAATTAAAAGACAATTTTTTTAAATTTCAGAAAATTTATCTCATTTTAAGATGGTTCGGAAACTAAAATATCACGAGCAGAAACTGCTGCGAAAAGTAGATTTTGTTTCATGGGAAGCTTCAAATAATCTTCACGAGAACAAAATTATGAAGTAAATTTCAATTATATATTAGTTTGGTAGGCTAAATTGTTGGTAATTTCCGAGAGAACGATTTTTGGACCCCGCCCCCCCCCCCCTCCTATCAAGTTTGTAGATGGCTATCATAATTATCACATGGATATTATTGGTCATGTAGCCGCAGCGCCTGGCCTCCTAGCCTGTCCTAGCCGCGGCGCTCGGCCCCCAGCCTGTCCTAGCTGCAGCGCTCGGCCCAGAAGTTGTCTAAACCTAACCGTACCCTATAATAATATTTTGCTGATAAACAAGTGGACATGTACAAAATTGAAAGGAGGGGGGGGGGGGTCCAAAAATCGTTCTCTAGGTTACCCAAATTGTTTGAGTGAACCCATACGTTTAGGTAAAATTTTGTATTTCCCTCAAAAGTTTTTTATTTAATTTTATCAGGAAGGCATTACATTTAAAATTAGTTTACATGAACATCTGTAAGAATTGTAAGTGCATATTGCTAATATCCTCCCGGAGTATTTTTATAAGAAACTTCGTTCACCAATTTAATACTGTCTTTAATTAAAAGTCACCCCACTTAAATTATAATTTTCAATCCAATTTAAAAACATTACTTTTTGTGCATAGATTCTATTTCCAGGCGTTACTGTATAGATAAAAGAGAGGAGTACACCCTTTACAACAAGCTGTCAAGAGAAATCAGAGAAATTGTCAGGTTCAGATTCCAAGATATACACTTGGTTTGGTTTGGTTTGGTTGGGTTCATGTTGGGTTGGGTTGGGTTGGATTTAGAAGTTTTTTGTTAAATTTAATTTTTTATATGTATTTTTTCTTGGATTGTAAAGTCTTAAAAGTCGTCGTTAAATTACTTGACTTACTGAGCACCTTATTTACAGTTTTATCTGAAAAGCAATTTTTTCCCACCTAAAGTGTTAAATTCTGACAATTACCTTTCTTGTTTCTGCTGTTTAAGTCACTTTGATTGAGAAACTACAATTAGTTGACGATAATCAATTTTGCTTCAGAAAAAAAGGATTTAAAAATCTTGGAAAAGAGACTGATCTGGATCGAACATGTGTTTAACTGTTTAAATGGAGTGTCACTAAATTATCGTCAATATTCCATTTAACCCTGAAAAAAAAATTATTTTTTAATCTGATAAAATTACAAGTTAGTTGTTAATTTTAGAAAGATTAAAGATCTTGATCCTAAATCTCCGGACAGGGTTGAAATGAGTGCTGCGTTCCTCGAGAAACTTTACAACATTGGGCTCATTCCAACAAAATGGAATCTAGGTTAGAGTTAGTTTATATATAGTTTATCTATGTACTGTATATTATTTGATAGAATTGAAGCAAAAATGGCCTTTACACTCCCATTAATTGTAGTATTATGCTTTCATACAGCACATCAAGTCTGATTTAAGTGGATTCAATAGCTAAAAGAAATAAAATATGTACATTTATTGTGAAAGATCATTTTCAAACCCCACTTCCCCTATTTTTAAAAATATTTTTTTTTACCCAAGATATTACGTAATATGTATGTTTGCGAGAAACGCAAGTATTTTTAAAGTATCAACAAATTAAAAAAAACACTTGCCTTTTGATGTCCCAGTATTATTTTTCCCCCCAAAATCATCAAAGATCACCCCCACCCTTCCGGTGAGGCATTTCCCTGGTGAGACGTTTCCATAGCACCGGGTTAAATCTGAAATATATACACCCTTGAGTAATTTCTAACTTATTTTAGAAAACTGTGATAAGATAAACGCCAGCAGCTTTTGCAAACGTCGACTTCCTGTTATGATGGTGAGCTTGACGAATGCTAAATTAGTAATTAAATGATTAATTGATTTAGAACTTGATTCATAACTTAATTGTTCAATGATATGATTAATTGGCTGATTCATTGATCGATTGGTTGATTGATTGATTGATTGATTTTATATCTAGGTTAGGTGTAAAATGGCCCAGAATACCCGAGCAGCTGTGAATATGGTTGAGGCGGGGCATGTCCGGGTTGGTCCAGAGATGGTTCTAGATCCGGCCTTCCTAGTTCCCAGGTTAGGCAGATTTTTGGAACCAAATTTAGTGAAAAGCTAGGGAGGGATGGAGGGGGTCCATGCTGCCATGAGCCCTGCAATCTCTTTTCCAATCCACAGAGAGTTTTGGATATTAGACATATATTTTCGCCAATTTAAAGTATCAGACGATAAAAATTTGCGTAAACGACCCCTTCTGAAATTAAAAACTACATTCTAAAACCCATTTTAGCCTTTTTAGAGGATATTTAGGGCTCTAAAACCCCAATCCTCTTTTTTTGGGTCACCCTGTAGGTAAAGTTCAATTACATCTCACTATTAATTAAAGATCAAAAAAAAAAATTCTAAGTGTTTAAACTAGCCCTAGGTACTTACTTTTCTAGTGGGGGCGAAAAGGCACTAGAGTTCAGAAGCTCAACTAATTCTCAGTTTTTATTAGATCCAACAACCACGCCAGTGGTTCAAACTCCAGGGTCATGTAGATGACAGTGTAGAGATGCGCACTTTCAATAGGGTCCGAGTAGGTGATGTTGGTTTGGGTAACAGAAGACCAAACCCTATGGGAAAACTATTCTCGCATTGCCCTTATTGTCTTAATAAAGGAGTGTTGTGTAAACTAACAGAACACCATGTCATAATCGAATGCTTGAGTATTAGTTATGAGCGCAACCAATTTAATATCCCGGAATGTCTAGTCAACTCATTAGGGTCTAAAACCACACTAAGGAAGTATCTAGGGGAGGATAATGCGGGAGTACCAGAGCTGCGTATACGAGCTAGTCACATCCACAACATCATTGAGCGTTGGCAGAATATCACGACACCCTTTTAACTTCCAGGTAGCTACTGCTTCACGCCTCACTTTTGATTGCAGGGTACACTTTCGCCATCAGGATGTATGGCTAGACAGCGTCTGGTTTGTACCTGCCTTAATTAAATTTCCTTGGAGTAGTGGGAATGAGATTAGGGTGCCAGATTGAATCGGTCGGGGATTCAGCACCTGACTGAGTCCCCTTCTCGGAGTCGGTCTGGGGATCCCACGTTGGGGGTCTTCCACGATCTATCTTTCATTTCATTTCATTAGATCCAACCTTCGACTGAATTTAATGAATTCGAGCTGCGTCGCTGAATTTCCCACTGTTAGTTCAATTCAAAGTTAAAGATTAAGGAAAGGATTTGAATCGGTATTTAAATTTGTACCAGCGGTAGAGATTTCAAATTTTAATATAAATATGAATACTCCCAAAAAAAGATGAGTTAAGTTTGGCGGAATATAATGTCGATTTTTTTAGGAATATGGAGGATTTCGTGACTTGGGTCGACACCAGCAAGATCAGGCAGCATGTCCTGGAGTACAGGGATCTCAGAGACGATTACGATGTACACTGTTGATCATCATTTCCTCGCATTTTTTAAAATTTTTTCCGTTTCCTCGAGTTTTATTAAAGTCCCGTGGGAGCATATTTTTTAAATTTTCAGATGTTTTGAAATATAAGAAATGGACGAGGAGGGACAGTTTGACCAGCCGGATACATTTGACCTGGAACTAGAGCTAGTCAGATGGGTTAAGGTAGAATATTTTAACATTTATGAGATTTCAAAATAAAAAGTTAAAATCGAAAAGCAGTAAAAACATAAATTAAGAAAACATGTTGAAAAAAACAAGATGGAATGAGAAAAAGATAAAAAAGGCTTTTTTTAGGAAAAAATATTTATTATAGATTGCCGGAGTAAAAACTATTCCCCCTGTAATGTGTAAACCTGCAGGACCTATTATTCAACACTATGGACTAGATTCAAAATCAAGGTAAAATATTANCCCCAATTTCGTAAATTTAAAAAATGCTTTTCCATTTTAGAAAAAATCTACATAAATAACAAAGGGACTGAAGAAATTGATGAAGCTAAACAAAGATTGAATTTTTCTCTCTATTGATAATTTAACCCAAAAATTCATTTATATTTTTCAATTTATTAAATATAGACCCAAAATAAATGTCGTTATTACCGAGGGCTGGGGGGATATTATTCAAGAAAATATACCCCTGTCGAAGAAAGTGTCGTTTGTAAAAAAAAAAAAACTACTTTTATTGTTGAATTTGTCAAGATGGCGCGAAGCAGTTTGTATCATGATGCTAGTATCAGATCCTCACATTACTAATGACGGGGTCAACAAGCTTGGCCGCCAGCTAGCACAGCTCTTCAGACAGGATTTACAGGTATAATATATTTAGGGACCAAGTTGTTCATACAATATAGCGAAATAAAAAATGAAATTTATGTTACTAGACTTCTGAGGCGATTTGTACAGCCCTTAAATGATAAATTGAAGATATGGGAACTGAAAGCTCTTCAGCTGCATGATTTGGTTAAACGTTACTCCGTTCTTTTCTTAATATTTTAATTGTAGTTATGGGAAGTAAAAGCTCGTCAGCTGCATGATTTGGTTAAACGTTACTCCGTTCTTTTCTTAATATTTTAATTGTAGTTATGGGAAGTAAAAGCTCGTCAGCTGCATGAATGGGTTAAACGTGGTTTAACCAATGTTAAACTTCTGGACAGAACACTAGCATACTTCCAGGTATTACAGGGGTGTACACTGGACATATTTAGGTGGGGTGAGGGGGGGGGGGCATCCAATTTTGTGCTTTTGGTAAAATATTTTAAATTATTTAGTAAAAGGGAAAGTTGTAATTTATATCAGTATTTTATATTGTTTGATTTTTACAGATATAAAACTGTTCTTTTTAATTTTGTTCTATTTTATTTCGTAACAATTGATTGATTGATTGATCTGAGAAATTAATCTGTATTTTATCTAGAATCAGACAAGTTGGTTGCAGTATATTAAAACCTTAAAGAATCCTATACCAATGATAGAATCTCCAGGATTCCCAGGTAAATCTAGGGAAGCTTCGCGCCCCATATACCAAGTTTAAAGGCGTTGTAAACGTTATTTCAAGTGGCATGTGCGATTCACAACTGTGCCTTTCACTGATGAGGAAAATAACCTTAAACTCATTGTTTTTCTAACTGAATATATATTATTTGCTAACTGAATATATATTATTTTCTAACTGAATTTATATTATTTTCTAACTGAATATATATTATTTTCTAACTGAATATATATTATTTTCTAACTGAATATATATTATTTTCTAACTGAATATATATTATTTTCTAACTGAATATATATTATTTTCTAACTGAATATATATTATTTTCTAACTGAATATATATTATTTTCTAACTGAATATATATTATTTTCTAACTGAATATATATTATTTTCTAACTGAATATATATTATTTTCTAACTGAATATATATTATTTTCTAACTGAATATATATTATTTTCTAACTGAATATATATTATTTTCTAACTGAATATATATTATTTTCTAACTGAATATATATTATTTTCTAACTGAATATATATTATTTTCTAACTGAATATATATTATTTTCTAACTGAATATATATTATTTTCTAACTGAATATATATTATTTTCTAACTGAATATATATTATTTTCTAACTGAATATATATTATTTTCTAACTGAATATATATTATTTTCTAACTGAATATATATTATTTTCTAACTGAATATATATTATTTTCTAACTGAATATATATTATTTTCTAACTGAATATATATTATTTTCTAACTGAATATATATTATTTTCTAACTGAATATATATTATTTTCTAACTGAATATATATTATTTTCTAACTGAATATATATTATTTTCTAACTGAATATATATTATTTTCTAACTGAATATATATTATTTTCTAACTGAATATATATTATTTTCTAACTGAATATATATTATTTTCTAACTGAATATATATTATTTTCTAACTGAATATATATTATTTTCTAACTGAATATATATTATTTTCTAACTGAATATATATTATTTCAAGTGAGGTTTCTTCTTTAATGTATCTTTTGGATTTGCGGCAGAGACAACAAAGGGAGGAAATTGAAATAATCTATCTAATACTATAGAAGAAAGATAATCTTATTGTTACTCAGATTAAGGTCTGAACTTGGAAGAGACAATAAAGGGAGGAAATAATCTATCTAATACTATAGAAGAAAGATAATCTTCCTTATTGTTACTCAGATTAAGGTCTGAACTCGGAAGAGACAATAAAGGGAGGAAATAATCTATCTAATACTATAGAAGAAAGATAATCTTATTGTTACTCAGATTAAGGTCTGAACTTGGAAGAGACAATAAAGGGAGGAAATAATCTATCTAATACTATAGAAGAAAGATAATCTTCCTTATTGTTACTCAGATTAAGGTCTGAACTCGGAAGAGTACCTTTGTAAATCCAATATGGCTCTACAAATGGAGGATCACTAAGAACTATGTCCAATGTTCTCTGAAGTTTTGGTACTTGCAAATTGGAGGTACTTCGTGCCTGATCCTAGTAATAAGTTTCGCATCATATCAAATTTTGAAAATTAGAATAAATTAAACAAATTCTATTGGAAGGAATAGACAGCAATGCTTCTAAAAATATGTAAGGAACTCAATGGAACGAATTCTACTAGAAGGAACAGACAGTAATGCTTTTAAAATATTTAAGGAACTCAATGGAACAAATTCTATTGGAAGGAATAGACAGTAAGGCTTCTAAAAATATTTAACGATCTCAATGGAACGAATTCTACTAGAAGGAACAGACAGTAATGCTTTTAAAATATTTAAGGAACTCAATGAAACGAATTTTACTGGAATGCTATTTTAGGAACTCAATGGAATGTATTTACTGAAAAGAACAGACAGTAATGCTTTTATTGATATTTTAGGAACTAAACGGAACGAATTATACTGGAAGGAACAGACTGTAATGCTTCTAGTGATATTTTGGGAACTCAGTGGATCAAATTATACTGGGAGGAACAGACTGTAATGCTATTAATGATATTTTAGGAACTCAATGGAACGAATTCTACTGGAAGGAACAGACTGTTATGCTATTAATAATATTTTAGGAACTCAATGGAACGAATTCTATTGGAAGGAACAGACTGTAATGTTACTAATGCAGGAACAAGATTTCTCAAATGGAAAAAATCCAGATTTCTGTTCAAGGTAATTATTTATTTTGAGTCTTTTTTACCTGTCATTGATAATCACAAGTAAAATTTCAGACCCCCCTCCCCCTCCCTTCTCCGCATCACCATTTATTTAAAAGAACCCGGGACCGTTATTAGACTACTCTAGATAAAATTACAATGTGAAAATGGACACACATACCGTTTTCTCAAGAAGTTGATTACAAATTTTTCTTGTCCATTCATTAGTTGCTTTAAGAGATGTCATTAAAAGATTGAGGATCTAAGGTATTGAAGAAGTTGGATGTTATTGCTTAGAATTTTGATAACTGGGTCTTAAAATTCCGGATTTAGATCTCCTTTTTATGTAAAGGCACCAAGGAAGGGGTTTGCGAATGATAAACAAAAATTGCGATATTATGTGTGGAAAAATATGAAAAACAGAAAAAATATACACCCCTACGGCCTTTTTACTATTAGTTATAATTGATTTGACCTTTGACCCCCTTAAAACTACGGATTTGGATCAAAAGCATTATTTACAAATAGATTATAAAGTACAATAGGTGGCAACAGAGAAATGGACCAATTATACACAACGTCACAAGTGTCAAATATATCAAGGAAAACGAAATTTTCTCACATTAGTAGACATGTTTTCCAAGATTAAATTAAAAAGTGTAAAAACAGAAACTAAAGAACACATAAAATTGCACTTATTTTACTGTAAGAAAATTCTAAAATTATCACTATTATTGAAGATTTGTCGGACACAAAAACTGAATTGACACTTGTGACGACAGAATACAACTGTACTGAGAGTGTACAAATTCTACGTTGCCATCTATTGTACTAGAATCTATTTGATTATTTATACTTTGTTCAGGTGTGGTTTTAGAATGATAATAACAATAATGATAATTATTTGTTGAAAAATCTAGAAAACACCCCTTTTCACTTTAAGTAAAGTTTTTTTATGTCTTACTCTTTTTAGATGTGAATGCACCTGAAATAAATGGTTTTTGAATGATTACAATAATAATCATAATAATAATAAAGGTTGTTTTTGGTTTGTTGGACAGATGTACTCACCTGTACTGCTGTGGAGTGCAGTACAGTGTACACAATAGTCACAAACTGAGCACAGAAATCTACTATAGGTGTTACTCGGCTGAGATACAATAGCAGACTGACACAATGAATGATTACAATAATGATAATAATAATAAATTGTGGGAAAATCTAGAAAACTTGTTAAAGGTTGTTTGGTGAGGAGCCGGGAAAATGGAAGTTGAAGATGGAACAGTTTAAAAGATGGATAGAAAAGGGGAAAAATGATCCTCTGCCAGAGTACTATGGAACGGGTATTTATTTTAATTAAATAATTGTCTGCGCGAAATGATTAAATTAATGTTTTTTTTTTTCAATTTAAAAATTGATTTTTCGAATTGTGGTTTCTCTCGTAAAATGACTTGTAGATTTTTTGTGCAGTGACAAATAAGGAAATTAACAAAATTCAACACTTTTCAAAAAAATTGTGGATTCTAGGGGATCGTCACTTGAAATCATGTTAACAGTCTTTTTAAAGTTTAATGAATAATAACTTTTAATTTTATACTTCATATTTTCATCTCAATTGCTATTTGGGGCTTCTTTTTACCTGTATTATTGCCGTATACTTTACTCCTCACATTTTAAAAATAAGTTCGGCAACGATTATGCAAGTTCAATTTCTTTATTCCAGGTAAGAATTGTCCAGAGTGTGGATTGTTTCTCTGGGATACCAGGAGTTTTCTCAAGCACATGAAGAGAAATCACGGACTTAAGGAAACAAAAATATACAATTCATAAATTAAATCTTAACCAAACATCTCTTATTACTTTGCTTGTAACCGACAAACGTCAAAACGACTGTACCGATCGGGCCTAAAATTTGTGCGAAACCTCAAATGACCACATGGAATGTTTATGAATGAATTTCAAAAATTGCCTCCTAAACTATCGATTTTCAGAAAATTTTGAAAATCCACGAAGAATTATTAAGTCCGCGATTGTTTTATAATGTATACGAAAAGAAAATATTCACAGATAAAGCAACAATTAAATAGGTTGAAACCCCGGCTTTGTCAGGAAACTAAGATTCATCTACAAAAATCAACCCACGAAACAAAACATTTTCAATCAAACTAAAAACATTCTCCGAACAAGTCACCCAACCAAAGGAACAAATGTTCAGGGGTTTATGGGTTAACATCGGAAATAAAACAAACACACAATAGACAAAGAACAAACAGAAATTACTATTATAAATATATATTGTACACTTGGTTTCTTCATTTGCTGCCATTCTTTACAAAAATCAGAAATTACAAGACTAAAGTGAAGAAGCAATGTACATCTGGCATCATGTAGTGATGAGGCATGATTGCTTTTCAGGCCAACCTAACAAGGGACTCGTAACACTTTGCCTAGAAAGGTACTGACTGCCTGACGAGCTGAAAGACAACTTTCTTATTTAAAGTTTTTCCATGAAAATAAAAATAAAAATAAAAATTAAAACTAGAGAGATACGCAACGAAAACCTGGGATAATGATTATTTTTTCTTAATTCTTAATATTTTTGTAATTGTACCAGATACGGGACAAGGAGAAGTTTAAAGAAAACTCATTTAATACACCTCCTCAACTTTACATTCCAGGTAGACAAGGGAAGAGGAAAAATAAATAAAAATAAATAAATCTACAAAAAGTGTAGCAGAATTTTGATATCATTCTTGTAACTTGTCTTGCATTTTTGTAACTTGAATTATTTTTACTCAAACGTTTAAACTTTAGGAGAAACCTCCGATACAGAGGATAGTTCAGCGTGTACTCCGACAGATCCAGGAGACAGATCCAACCCTCTCTCCTCTCCTTCTCTCCCCTCCAAACTATCTCCGTCAAGGGAATCTCCCACTCTTCCTCCTCTCTCTTTCTCTCCGTCCCAACCTGTCTCATCTGCTTCCCATTCCAGCAAGCTGTATACCCCGCATAGAGCAACTAAGGAAGGATTTTAATCGTTAAATTATTGAATATTCATCATTTACTTTCAATTCTGTCATATCAGGCCAGTTTTTCATAATAATTTGGGAAGGGATGTGGGAAAAATGTCGTTTTTTTTTATTTACCCCCCCCCCCTATTTTACAAACGTTGTGGAAGCTTTAACATATTTTTGAGTAACAATGAGAAATAACCCGTTTTTTATATAGTAAAACTAGATTATCATTGAAGTATAACGGTTTTTAAGAAATCAATTTAATCTTGCATGTATCTCTTTAAATGGAGAGTCAATTGAAAAAACGTCGACAGCCCCTTTTAGATTAATAATAAATCCGCATGAATAGAACTCTATCGTGAACTATTCCTTGGATTCTTCGGACTCGGAACCCTCGCTCCTCAGTCTAACTCTACCGGTTCGAACTGCAGCTAGCAGGTCAGGAGTGGGTAGAGATGCAGCTAGCAGGTCAGGAGTGGGTAGTGATGAAGCTAGCATGTCAGGAGTGGGTAGTGATGCAGCTAGCAGGTCAGGAGTTGGTAGTGATGCAGCTAGCAGGTCAGGAGTGGGTAATGATGCAGCTAGCAGGTCAGGAGTGGGTATTGATGCAGCGAGCAGGTCAGGAGTTGTTAGTGATGCAGCTAGCAGGTCAGGAGTGGGTAGTGATGCAGCTAGCAGGTAATGAGTGGGTATTGATGCAGCTAGTAGGTCAGGAATGGGTAGTGATGCAGCCAGCAGGTCAGGAGTGGGTAGTGATATCAGCTAGCAGGTCAGGAGTGGGAAGTGATGCAGCTAGCAGGTCAGGAGTGGGTAGTGATGCAGCTAGCAGGTCAGGAGTGGGTAGTGATGCAGCCAGCAGGTCAGGAGTGGGTAGTGATGCAGATAGCAGGTCAGGAGTGGGTAGTGATGCAGCTAGCAGGTCAGGAGTGGGTAGTGATGAGGTCAGGAGTGGGTAGTGATGCAGCTAGCAGGTCAGGAGTGGGTAGTGATGCAGCTAGCAGGGCAGGAGCGGGTTGTTTTCAGGTCGTATTTTGCCCATATATTCAATCAGAGTCAAAAGTTGACAAAGATGAAGAAGAGAAAATGGTTTTAAATTTTTTATGCTAAATAAATTCTTTTCTTACAACATGTCAAATTTTGACCCTGACAGAATAAAACGATCCAAAGACGATACAAAAACGAACGCGTTTTAATGGTCGTTTTTTGGTCGTTTTTCGATCGTTTTTTTTGTTGTTTTTTCCATATTTTTTTAGGATAAAGAATAAAGATATTGCAAAGTGCAATAAAAGCAAAGGAAACATAATTCAGTTTGGTTTGAGCAAGAAACTATTTTTGTTATTTGCTCAGATGGATGGAAACCTTTAAATAACTTTTTCTTCTAGAGGGATCCTTGATTGATAATATCAAAAATTTTACATAACCATTTCTTGTTCGATTGACAAATAAATTGATAAATTAACTTATTGATCGAGTAATTGATTGATTGATTGAATGATTGGCTTTTGAATTTATTTATCTATTGATTGATTGTTTGATATTTTTTGATTGATCGACTGATTGGGTTATTAATTTATTTGTTGATGGGTTTGTAGATTGATTGATTGATTGATTAATTGATCGAAAAATTTAGGAAGGAGAGTCCTGCCAGCACAGATGAATTAGTATCATGCCCAGAATGCAATTACAGGTATCTATCTATTTCTGTTACACCTTAAAGGGATGAAACTAAAAAGGAGTCAAGAGTTAAACAATTTGCCAGAAAAACATTATTCCACATTATTAATCAAATAAAGCGGTGAATAGGGAAAGATATTCTTTAATTGAGGGGCCACTGCAAATTACACCGTTAGTCCCTTTAAACATTAATCTCATGTTTGTTTAGGTGTTCCCACAGCAAGATCATTAATCACTTAATCAAGTGTAAAAAAGCTCATCAGGCAATTTTTATCCAAATATATATTTCATGGTATGAGATGCCATTGTATTGCGCAAGGTTACAGATTGCTTAATGTGATAGTATCAATCATTTGCCCCCTCTTTGAAAATCTTTGTTTTTGAAAGGGGATAGTGGAGATGTCATGTTTGATGTAGGGGGTGGGGGGGGGGGGGGCCTGCCTTCATTTTTCGTTCAAATCTTCTAAATTTTTGGCTGCACGCCTAATTAGTAATCGAAATTCATAAATTAAATCAAATTGAATTTTAATGACCTCTAATGACCTCTAATGACCTCCACAAATAGATATATTTCAACTATGGCGTTATGCATATTAAACGAATATAGTAGCAGCAACAAATCCAGTGTTTGGCCTTCTAATGACCTATTACGACCTCTAATGACCTAAATGACCTCCAAAAATGAAAATGTTTTAACTATGGCTTTATGCATATTAGTTAAAAGCTATGAACTCCAGAAATACAGTAGCAGCAACGAATCCAGTGTTTGACCTTCTAATGACCTCTATTGACCTAAATAAACTCCAAAAATGAAAATGTTTTAACTGAGGCTTTATGTATATCAAACGAAAATTAGGAACCCAGGGAATACAGGAGCAGTAACGAATCCAGTGTTTAACCTTCTAATGACTTCCAATGACCTCTAATGACCTAAAATGACCTCTAAAATGAAATGTTTTAACTATGGCTTCATGCATATCAAACGAAAGCTAGAAACCCAGGGAATACACTAGCAGCAACCAATCCATTGTTTAACCTTCTAATGACCTAAATGAGCTCCAAATGAAATGTTTTAACTATGGCTTTGTGCATATCTAATAAAAGCTAGAAACTCAGGGAATACAGTAGCAGCAACAAATCCAGTGTTTGACCTTCTGATGACCTCTAATGATCTCTAATGACCTAAAATGACCTCCAAAATGAAAATGATATTACTATGGCTTTATGCATATCAAATGAAAGCTATAATCCAGGGAATACAGTAGCAGCAACAAATTGAGTGTTTGACTGAGGGGACCCCCAACCTTGCTGTGAATAAAATCTCCTTGAAGCAGAAACATAAAACAGAATAGAAATTATATTTCACCCTATTCATTTAACAAAACCCAGCTTCTTTTCTCTTTGATGCTACTGTATTCCTTGGGTTCCTAGCTTTTGATTTATATACTTATAGCCATAGTAAAAACATTTTTATTTTGGAGGTCGTTTTAGGACTTTAGAGGTCATCAGATGGTCAAACACTGGATTCGTTGCTGCTACTGTATTCCCTGGGTTCCTAGCTTTCATTTGATACGCATAAAGCCATAGTTAAAACATTTTTATCTTGATGGTCATTTTGGTCATTAGAGGTCGTTAGAGATCATAAAAGGTCATTAGAAGGTTAAACACTGTAGCTGTGGTTGTATAGAATACTCCTGTGCTACTCCTGTAGCTGTAGTTGTAGAGAATTTCGCTTTTAGCTACTCCTGTAGCTTTGATCTACTTCCGTAGTTGGCGAAATACTCCTGTGCTACTGCTGTAGCTGTAGTTCTAGAGAATTTCGCTTTTAGTTACTCCTGTAGCTTTGATCTACTCCCGTAGTTGGCAAGAAAGTACTACTTCTTTGAGTTTTTTTAGTTCTTAAATGTAACATAATCGCTGAAAAGAGATGGATTAAAAATAAAATTTTAATTCGATTATATTTTAATAAGAATGTATTGGATAAAGCTTTGTGTCTGTAGGCCAATAAACCTGACCCTAGTCCTCCTCAGAATAAAAAGAAAGCCGTTTCTTCGCCACCTAAAGACCGGACTGAGTCCCCTGCCGAATTCCGGCGGGGTGCGTCTCCGCCAGCTGTCCGCCGTGATGTTACTCCTCCTCCAAAGGAATGAAACACTGTCATTTTGGAATTAAATGACCATTTTTGATTTTTTCATATACTCTAAACTATATTTTTAAAAATTTTCTTTTTTACCCTCTGATTTAAAAAATCACAACAAGTTTGTTTAAACTTTTAAACTTGTCTATTTGACTCTGTGACAGTATTTTATAAATCAGACGCCCCCTCTGCCAATCACTGAGATTAAAGAATCCTTGAATGTGAAGTCGATAGTGAAGAAAGTGTTCTGGAAAAAGTACGAGGCCGAGCGCCTGGAGCACGAGAGAAACATGCTAAAGTTGAAATCCCCGGAGCCCTATAAATCTCCGGATAGTTCATATCGGTCTCCGGATGGCCACAAAACCCCGGATCCGGACAAACCACCGTTAAAACTAAAATTATCCCGCAAAGAAGGTTGTCAAGAAACTCCTTGTTTTGAAATAAATAAACCAGTAATAAGCAGTATTTTGAGGCAACAGAATTTTCGTAGATTTTCTGCTAGTTCTCCTCAGGAGCCAGGGTCTCCCTGTTCACTTCCCAGATCACCGGTTCATGTCATATCCAGCACCTCCTTATCTAGTCCTAGCAGGGTACCAGAACATAATCAGGAGATAACTGATATTCGAGATTATTCTACTAAACCCCAACCATCTTCTGATGTTAAAAATGAGCCTGTAATCATGAATGAATTAAAAAAGGACTCAATTCCCATCTTAGAACCAGCTCCGAGTAGTGTTAAACCAGCGGAACCTATTCTCCAGAATTTTATTTCTGAATCCGCCGACGTTGGCCGACTTGGCCGACGACGAGGACGAATGATTGCATGTCCTCTCTGCGGTGTAGAATATGCTCTAGCCTCTAATCTTGAGAAACATATAGACAAGGATCACAAAGACACAAGTAAACCCGCAAAGAAACGCTTTAGAAAATCTTCAGAAATGTCGCCGCCCAAGAAAATGCGCAAATTCCGTGGAGATTTGAAAGACACAGTTTCAATAACTGATGTTAGTAGTGGTCCAGGTAAAGATTAAACATTTGATCTCTCGGTTTATTTAAAAATATCTTTAATTCATGGGGAATTTATTATGTTTTAATTAGGAATTGTTGACCCGGTGTCTATCTTGAACCCAGATCAGGTTTCCTCTACGGAGACTGCAACGCCTGAGGTTGAACGGCGGAAGTTGACGGAATACGAGATATTTCAATCCCTTCAGCTGCACGCGGAACGGAAACCTGAACGGAAAAAGGTTTCCTGTGATAAATGTGGCAAACTTATACCTCCGAATAATATCAAAAGGTAGGATTTTGTCTATTTACAATGTAAATTCTTTAGGACAAATACAAAGTTCAACTAAATAGTCATGCTAGCAGCAAGCATTGATTTGTCAAGCTGTGTAAATTGTTCATAAACAATTTTGGGAACGGACTAACTTTGAAGTGTAGCCAATATTTGGTCCTGATTTTGTAGTTCTTTCAATGAAGATTTCAAAGCTTTTAAGGATAAAATATTCGCTTCTGTTTTAGAATATTTTTGTGTCGTTAAATTCAGTTTGATTTTTAAATCAGAAAGGCATATTGTATACTGTTGAAACTGAACAAACTGTCCGAGTGCCTGTCTTAGACTAAAGGTATATTTTTTTTGTTAAATTGATTGATTGATTTTTTCAGACATCTTGAACGACATGAAAAGATAAAATCTGGAGAAATCACTAAATCTCCGGGACCTGGCCGGAAACTTAAGGTTTTTTTTTTAATTTTTCTTAAATGGAAAATTTGAATTTGTTTTTTTTCAGCTTTTTCTTAAGTCATGGTGAAAAAAATTAACTAATAAAAATTCAAAATTTTGATTAGATATCCATAATCCATATTCCATACTGTATGGTTAAAATTATTATTTTCAAATTTCAATTTTCTTCCGTTTTCAGCAGAGCTAGGTTTGTGTACATAATGACGAGTTTTCTTCTCTAGGTTTCCAACCAGATAAAATGCGTGAAATGTGAGAAGATGTTTCCGAAAAACCTGATTAAGCGGCATTTAATGAAACATAAACGAGGTAAAATTATATTTTTGCAAACGTTGAATGCCAATTTCTTTAAAAAAAAGTTATTAATGCCTTAATTCTTAATTTTTTATCCCTATCTTATCTTATACCTTTTCAACCCAATGTCGTATACTTGTGATGTTACAAATTATAAATTCTGTGAGATTGAATAGTCCGTCCGTTTAGAATAAAATGATTTTGGAGTGCAAAAACAGGATTGATCTTCTAGTCTAATTTTATTTAATTATAACAATCTTTTTCATGTTCATAACATTTTTATTAATTGTATTAAATAGTCAACATAAAAAACTGTTTTCCAGATAAAAGTTAGATTTAAAGTTTCTACGTTAGACAATATATTAAAATCTCAATTCCGACTTGCTTTAAGATTTTCAAATTAAAAATTATTAAGGTCGTTTTGCCTGTATAGCTTGCTTAATTTTGTTATGAAAACATGAATGCTTATTTAAATTTAAATGTCGTCATCTGTCATCTTAATTTCAGAGGAGAAGGTTCAAGCTAGCGAAGAAGAAGGGATTGGTATACCAACCGGTCCGGTGGAAGACGACCGGATTCCTTGTGTGGAATGCGGGAAAATGTTACCGAAAAACGCGATGAAGAGGCATATGATGAAACATGAGGTGGATAATCTAGGTAATAGTCTCTGTAATATATACAGAGTTTGTAATGACTTTTTATATTCATTTTGAATCTCAGTATGGAAGTAGGACATCCCTAAAATCTGATTTTATTTTATCTAGATTCTGGAACAGTACTGGACGCGGAAAATATCAAAACTGAAGTGGATTCAGCTGACAGTATGGAGGCTCCAGAACCGGTTCAGGTATGTTTTACAATTATATCTACATCACGGTTATATATAGAGCCCCAATACATACGGGGGGAGGCATGACAAATTGAAAATCGATTGGCAACTTCTATACATCTTTTTAAAACTTTGTCACCTAAAACCTCAAGTTTTTACCCCTCCATGTGAAACTTTTTTCTCTGAAACTTAATTGTTATCCTCAACTTATCATTTAAAACTCTAAAAGGATTTGGCGCTACGCAAAAAGTTCCTAAAATACTGGCAATATACATTATCTTAAAAGATCTAAACCATGTAATATTTCTTTACAATGACATATTAGACTTTAATTCAAAATGTAATGGTAATAGTAAAATCCATTAATATATTATTCTAAGAAGGAAAAAACATTTTTCAGGAGAAGAGAAAGTTAGAAAGAAAGAAGATGAGATGTGAAGAGTGTGGGATGCTCTGTGCTCCAAATACGTTCAGGAGACATTTAGACAAACATAGGTAGAATAGTATTAATTGATTTCTTCGGTTTGATGAGGTTCAGGCTGGAAAAAGAGGAAGGACATGAAACTTGGACTTGAAAGTAAATTCCGGCTTTTGATTGTGTTGATTGGGTGAAAATAGATTTAAAGAGAAGTCAACCAACCGATTGATTAAATGATTATGACTGACTGTTTGTTTGATTAAATGATTGATTGTTTGGTTGATTGATTGATTGATTGATTGATTGATTGATTATTAAGAAGAGGAACAGAGGTATCTAATAAGGAAGTTTATGCTCCTATTGAAATAACTCCAACTAAGGTAACAATATGTAAACAAACAAAGTGTCAACCCCCCCCCCCATCCCCATGAAAATCATTACAAAAAATGTTAAATTTTTTTTTTAAGATTGAATGAATTAGAAATATTTATACTAGTTAATACTACTAAGCAATCTCCTAGAATTTAATCATGCTTATTATAATCCGTGGTCGCTTATGGGGTTAAAATTCTTCTCGATACTTACTAAATTCAACCTCAGAAACTTTGAGCTTGATTGAGTAGTTAAACCTGGTTCAATTTGAAGCAACCAGTAGTAGTTGAACTCAGTTCAAACTGAACAAATATGATCCGCATTCATAAACTTCCAACTTAGGAGTATTGGGAGATGCAAAGTACAGAACCTTCTCCTGGTTCATCAAGTGCAACACAGGCATTACCAATTAGTACCTCAAGATTACCAAGCACACTTCCGGCACAGGTATTAATTACTAAGGGTCATGGGTTAACTTCCAAGAGAAGACTATATAGAGATAACTCACTGTTCATATTTCCATATTTCTGAAATTATATTGTTAAATTTTTAAAGTTTCTTTCTTAAATATCAAAATCCACAAGAGTGATTTAATCTTTCTAGGTCGTACTTAAATTTGTATACATTTTCAAAAACACTGAATAAGATTTTTTATTATTTGTTTAAAACATAAGATTGGAAGGAAATATTTACCTAATTCTAGGAGAGAACAAGATCTGGCTCGGCCCCTACCGGAGATACAGAGAGTAAAATAGAACAGGTCGTGAAGGCCGTGAAGACCAGTAAAGCATCTCTCAAAGATTTCCAGGGTGAAGATGAAACGGATTCCTGTTCAACAATAATAACCGCGAAAGACAGAAAATCCACTAACGAGGAGGAAACAAAGATGGCGGAAGATAAAATGGCGAGAGATAATATGGCGGCATCAAACGTGGAGAAAAATACGAATCCAGTGGAAAAATCTGAACCAGTCTGTAAAGACGGAGATGAGAAAATCAATAAGAATATTAAGGTTTGTACATTGTATTATTGATAAACTGATCGATGTATATTGCATATTTCAAGGTTTATTTATTTGATTTTTACAGATAAAAAAGTTGATATATTGTTTGATTTGTTGGTTTTTAAAATTTGCTCATCCGTTGAATGAGCAAATTAGACGAATGATTGAATGGTCGAAAAAAATGGTCAATCGATCGATTGATTGATTGTTTGAATTATTGATTGATTGGAAAATATTGATTGATTGATTAGGATCTGAAGGAGCAGGAGCGCTCAAGAATATCAGGATCTGAAGAAGAAGGGGAAACCTCTCTGGAACTAGCCGTCAGGTCCGTAATTTGTTCGGTGTTCTATCGATTGAACTAATAATAGATTGGACTAACGTTCGTTTGTACTAATGTTAAGTTAGACTAACGTTTAATAAGACTTTACTCCTGTTAAACAAATATTTGTTCAATTGAACTATTATTTCAATTTTTTTTAATTACCTCATCAAGTTTCGACAATTTCTGGGCTGATTGGTGCGGCTAGTACATTTTAGGTGGCCGAGCTCCGCGTCTAGGACAGGCTAGGGGGCCGGCGCTGCGGCCAAAGATTTTTAAACTGATGGTGCGATGATTTTAGGAAAGTTGTGAGCTACAAGATGACTCCAAAACAAGCTCTAACCATATACAATCTACAAGCCAAGGTATTGAAATAAATAAAAGTATAAAATCTTTTATTTAATAAAAGGGGCTGGAGGAGATCCAGTGTCATTAGAAGGTCAAACACTGGATTTGTTGCTGCTACTGTATTCCCTGGGTTTCTAGCTTTCATTTGATATGCATAAAGCCATAGTTAAAACATGTTTCATTTGGTGGTCATTTAGGTCATTAGAGGTAGTTAGAGGGCATTAGCAGGTCTAACACTGGATTCGTTGCTGCTAGTGTATTCCCTGGGTTACTAGCTTTCATTTGATATGCATAAAGCCATAGTCAAAACATTTTCATTTTGCAGGTCATTTTAGTTCATCAAAGGTCGTGAGAGGTCATTAGAGGGTTAAACAGTAGATTCGTTGCTGCTACTGTACTCCCTGGGTTCCTAGCTTTTGCTTGATATGCATAAAGCCATAGTCAAAACATTTTCATTTTGTTGAGGTCATTAGAGGTCATAAGAGGGTCAAACACTAGATTTGTTGCTGTTACTGTATTCCTTTGGTTCCTAGCTTTTGTTTGATATGCATAAAGCCGTAGTTAAAACATTTTCATATTGGAGGTCATTTTAGGTCATTAGAGGTCGTTTGAGGTCATGAGAGGGTCAAACACTAGATTTTTAGCTGGTAATGTATTCCTCAAAAGTTCAAACACTGGATTTTATTTGCTGTTACTGTATTCCCAGGGTTCCTAGCTTTCGTTTGATATGCAAAAAGCCATAGTTAAAACATTTTCTATTTGATGAGGTCATTAGAGGTTATTAGAGGTCGTTAGAGGTCATTAAAATTTAATTCAATTTTATATTAGAAAATTCGAATACTAATTATGCGTGCAGCCAAAAATTGGAAGATTTGAACCAAACAGGACATCTCCATCCCCTTTTGAAGAAAAAAAAAGATGTCCAGCTATAGCTAATATATTTTTATTACTTAGATGATAATAATAATACTGTTTTTAGGTCTTGTTTGATAATCTACTGGGAGAAACTGATGAGGATAGAATGGCTATTCTCAATCTTGTAAGTTTTTTTTTCAATAGAAAATTTTTTTTAAAAGAAATCATTCTTCGCAATTTTTAAATAATTGTTATAATTTTTTGTTTCTATTTACATTCGGATTTGTAGATTGTAGAATGTAGATTGCAGTTGGTTGATTTGGACATTTTGAAGGCATCATTTTTTAGTGCTGGGGTTTCTCCTTCTCTTCCCTTTTTCCCTTTGCTATTCACCCATCCTTTTTTTTCCTTTTTTAAAATTACTTTGTGAATTGTGTAATGTATTCGTTATTTGTTAAATTTAAAAAGTAAAATGTATCTATAAAACTTTGGAGGGCCAGCCAATCAAAACAACCAGAAATGGTTAGGCTGTAGCCCTGGCTAATAATTGTTTAGTAAAAAATTATAAAATGTAAAAATGTATTTTTTATAATGTTAGCCGAAATATATATCTATCTATCTATCTATTTTGACCAAGTCATCTTTTATTCAAATTTCTGATTGCACATTTATCCTTTTCTTGATAAGGTTGATTTGACCCCTGCCGGCGAGCAGAAGATTATTCAATTCTGTGTCAAGAACGAGGAACATCTCAGCTATAAATCTGTTATTAACTACGTTAAGGTAATTGTAAGATATCTTGGGACTGTCGTATTTGAAAGTGATTTCAAGAAAGACATGTCTGATTCACAGTGGTTTCCAGTTTCCACCCTTATTGTGGACCATATTGTCGGTTTTTATAGCTTGAATAGTGAAAATGTTGGCAACTTCCTTAATTTTTTACTGTACTAGAAATCCGCATGTCACATTTAAACTCATTTCATTATTGATAGGATATATAATTTTGGATTTTTTTTTTGGATTTTGTAGATTTGTCATCAGAGTTCCAGATAGGAGCATAGAAATGACCTCTTTATGTATCCAGCATTTTACTCATAGGTTTCTCATTCCTGCTGTTCCGGTATTTTATCATATAAGGACTTGAAAGTTTTTATATTTCCTGCTCTTTTGATATATTCTGGTAATTTGTTCCATTTCTCCGCTACTCTGTTGGTGAAGAAATTTCTTCTAACCTCAGTCCTGCATCTGGTTGTTAGTATATTTAATGCATCAGAAGATTGCCTGGTAACCCTGTCTGATTCTTCTCCTGCAGTCTGGAAGAACTGTCTCCTGTCTACATCGTCGTAATTGTGCATTAGTTTGAACACTTGAACCATGTCATATCTAATCCTTCTTTCTTCTAGAGATTGAAGACCAAGCTCTTTTAACCTATCCTCATACTCCTTGCTTTGCAGACCTGAGATCATTGTTACAGCTTTCATTTGTACTTTTTCCAGAACCAATTTGTCCCCCTCTTGCCAGGGACAGGGATTATTTTATCATAAAAATGTTGTGTAGTGTAGCGGACATATTAATCACAAATGAAAGGTCGCTTGAAATTTCCTCCTACAGTCCCTTCAAATGTTTATGTTAACTGATAAAACCACAATCTTGTTTAGGAGTTGAAGTTCAAAGATGGAAATACCGAGTTCAATCTGTCAAGATTACAAGCATACAGGCGAGTCATTTAAAAAAAAAATGTTTCATAAACTTTGTGAGAATGATACGTTTTCTCCTAGATGGTGGTACGCATTCAGGAAGAAATTCGATCTCAAGATTACAGCAAAGAAGAAATGATAAATCTGTTGGCGGTTCTGCGAAAACCTCCATTTTGAATTTAAGAAATTTATTAAGAGTAGAATCCTTAGAATCGAAGACGATATTTATGCATTACATAATTGATTTATCAAACATGATCTACCCTACCTTTACAGATCCAAGATACTTATCGCGCCATATTTTGTTCATACGTAATCGATGCCATTGCGTGACGTTTTGAATTCCAAGATCTGATTCTGGCTCAAGTAGAGTCAAGAATAAAAACAGTATTTGCTTTTTAAAAGTTGAATATTAAATATTGTTATTTTATGTAAACCATGTTATATACAGATATCTATTGTTTCTCAAAAAGAACAAAAAACAGTTAAAATCCTCATTCCTTGGCAAATTCTCCTAAGAGATTATGTCGGGCCTATGTATTGTAACTTGAAACCTCTTTAACAATTTATGTATCCATTTATTTATCAGTATTTTGCATTTATCAAACCTATTTTTACAGTGCACGCTGTACATATTTGAATATTTGATACTTTTCGACTGTATTACAAAACATTCATTTTTTTCAATTGTTAAACGCGTTTTTTATTTTATTTTTTGCTACAATTCGGAAAAATTAAATTCACTTTTATCTGAATAATACTCTAGTCCTACGAGAACATTGCTGCTAATAATTGCCATTATTTTGAACAATAATCGTTCATTAGTTCTACCAATATTTTTTCTATTAGAACTGTTAATATTTGTGCCAAATTTATAATGCAATATTTTACTACGTAAAAATCCATCCCTCCCTTCACAATTGGGGTGCTTCGCCCTTTAATCATTTTTATCTCAAACTATTCGTACAAAATCTCGTTGCATAGCTAGGGATGGGTATTATTAAGGTCCGTATTTTTATCTCAAACTATTCGTACAAAATCTCGTTGCATAGCTAGGGATGGGTATTATTAAGGTCCGTCTTTAAACATTTTAGGGTTTTTTAATTATATCTTATTTGAAAATTGCTCAATAAGTTTGGACTTCTTACATTTCGCAAAATAATTACTCTGAGCAATGTTGTTCACGAAAAGCATTTTTAAAAAACTATTTTCCAAACTTTTTGATGAATATCTTTGGTAGGAATAAAAGCTTTGAATGAAGTTCAAAAGAAAACTTCAGATTTTGCTGTTCCATCACATTTCAAGTTTATTTAGAACAGTTCTAAAGCCTAAAAGCTTTGAATGTTTAAAACCCGGATCTTTTAAGGAGGCCCTTAGCCCCTGTTTATCTAGTTCTCAAACTCAATATTAGATATATATAGTACTAAATTAGTTACCTATCAGAATGTAATTAAAATGTTGAACCGGCTTTTTGTCGGATTGTTTAACGATATGTTTCGCCCGTTTACTTACAGTATTTTTCAGATCTAAAAACAGATAAGATGGCGGTTAAAAGAGCCGGCTCAGGGTGAGTGATTATATCTTCTATATAATACAGCCTTTCGCTCACATTGTGCATTTTATAACATTTTTAGCGCAATGCAGGAAGCGCTCTGGAATTTCTAGCCTTATTACACACGCACATTTAAAAGTCAACGCTGTATTTAGCATTTATTGAGCAAATTCTTCTTACAGCATCCAAAGTGGTGGAAAACTGAAAAATAATCACATTAGTTTTATAAAATTATAATTACAAAAAATGAATATTTTCTCCAAANAATAATAAAAGTTTCTTATCACTTTGACATCAGATAATGAATGTTTTGAATTCTAGCAGCTTCATTAAGTTGATCAACCAATTCAAGCTCTCCTTCATGATGAACAACTGCCACCTTCCTAGCTGATCTTCGGGTTTGACGGAAAACACTCTCATTCTGATTTTTGTACTCAATGTTGACAACTCGGATAACATTATCTGCAGATACTTCTACAGACACTACTCGTCCAAGTCTCCAGACAGGTCCTCCGAGGGCTTTCTCTTTATCTGTTTTTAGAAAGATCACAAGATCCCCAACTTCAACAGAACCACTACTTCTTCTCCACTTAGGGGGTTGAGGGATCAGGTCCAAGATTCGTTCAGTCTTCCAAACTTCCCACCATGCTTCTGTAACCAAGTCTATCTGCTTAATCAATCTTGAGGGAACACTGAGCTGAACTTGTCCAGACAATGACCGCTTATTATTTCTGCCGTGAATAAGTCGGGCTGGAGTGATCAAATCAATTTGATCAAGTTTAGCTGTTCTACTTCCAATACATATAGGGAAGCAATTGAGCTCATTGCTTATAAAAGCAAACGCTGTCTCATATGAAAGGACATCAAGCTTGAGTCCTTTATAAATCTGGTTGAATAGTCGCTTGACCTCTAGAATACTTCTCTCAACTACTCCATGGGCATTATGCCCACCCACAGGACAGGTAACAAACTCAATACCAACTCCATAGTTAATACTGAAATCTCTTGTTATATCCATAGAAGCATACTCCATCTCCTTAAATGCTTTAACAAGCTGAGACCCTTCATCTATATAAACTTTACTAGGATGGCCAAACCTTGAGCTAAATCTTATATATGCTTGAATAAACGCTGCAGCATTATATGCTTGCATGCAGTGAACTGAGATAGCACAGGTGGCTGGGTCTTTAAAGACTACACCATAGATTTTTACCGTAGATCTATGGTTATGCTCACATGAAGCACTCATTGGACCAAACAAATCAATTTGTACATGATAAAAAGCTGGTGCAATGAGAAGCCTAGATGGGTGAATACTTCCCATTTCTACTTCTAGGAGCTTAGCTCTATACCTCTTGCAGAATGGACAAGCTTCTCTTATTTCACTTGCAAGATCTCGTCCTTGCAATATATAGGCAACATTTCTTGATTCTCTCAGGGTTGCAGCAGAATTACGATGTCTAGCACCTTCCTCATGACAATTCACCATTATGGCGTATGCAACAGGAGAATATCTATCTAAAATTGGTTTGACAAACATCAAGGGCTCCAGGTCTAGTCCACATTCAGCTTCTTGCCCAATCTCTTGTCCATCAACTATCCTTCCTGTGTATCTGAGAATTCCATCTTTGCCTAGCTCGGCGTGAGTCCAATCCTTCTTCTTAGCAAACTGTTTTACCTCTAAGGTTGCTTTAGAGAAAAAGTAATTAGAAGATCGCTCTATTTCCCAGTTTGAGATAACAAGAGATTTACGGCTTGAGATTCCTAGTTCTAACTCTTGTTGGGGGAACCACTTTCTCTTCCATTTTCTAACCCTGTCTAGAAACCTGAACACATAGCAAAGTATCCGCAGGGTTTTAGACCATCTATACAGGTTTGGGTCAATCAGGTATTTAGAGAAACTACACCTGTCTGCAACTCGTGACTGAATATTAATTAACACAATCCCATTAATATCTGGTGCCTTCATCTCTTTACTAGCAGTTCTCTTTTCTTCACTTGAGAGGGTTATCTGTTCTATGGTTCTCAGGGGCATCTGATCAATCTCCATTCTCATCCAGTCCTTGCCACACAGCCACACAGAATTGGGGGCCATGTCCACAGGATTCTCCTGCCTAGTTCCAAGATCTGCTACATTATTCTCTGACTCCACGTGAAACCAGGTAACTGGGTCCGAGAGTCTTCTTATTTCTATTACTGCATTTCTAACTCCAGTTTGCAAAGGTCTCTGATCTTGGGATAACCAATATAAACAGATTGTACTATCAGTCACATGGATAACATCTCTCAAGTTCTTTCTAAAAACTCTTTTCACACAGTATGCCAGTGTAGTAGAAACCACAGCAGCTTTTAGTTCAGCTCTGGGTACTGTGAGGTCTGTTACAATCTTACTCTTAGCACACACAAGCTGGACATGAAAGGAGCCATCAGTACATTTAATTCTAGAGTGTACTGTAGCAATGGCAATCTCCTTACTAGCATCACTAGAGACAATTAATCCAACATCTAGTGATTCAGCATTTGGAGGAACCACTGTTCTTCTAAATCTCAATTCCTTTAGTTTCTGAATATCTTCCAAATTCTTTATCCATCTTTCCAAGTAAGTTTCTGGAATCTCATCATCCCAATCAAGCTTGAGGGGTATGAGATCATGGAGATGTAGTTTCAACTTTGCAGTTGCTGGTGTTACCAGGCCAAGAGGATCAAATATCCCTGCAGTTTTACCAACCAATGTTCTTTTATTGAACTTTCCTTTAAGAGCCACTCCAATATCTCCTTCTACTGGATCAGGAATTTTTCCTCTTTTAGGTTTACCAATGTAAAGTTTCTTTATGTCAAGTCCAAGCAGGTCTTCTTCTGGGTCCCACAATAGGCCAACTACTCCAATATGGCGACCATCCTTAGATACAAGTTCAGAGGGCAGTTTTCCTGACATAGTTATATCCTTAACCTTCATGGAACCCAAACTCAAGGTAAACTTGAGTTGCTCTGCAGCCTCCTCACACTTTTTAAGACTATCCTGCCCAGTGACAATATCATCCATGTATGCATCTTTAGAGAGAGCTTCAGCACCCACTTTATTCTCTGGGTGAAATTTAATACTGTGCTCAGCTAGCTTTTGAAAACCCGCCATTGTGAGGTTTCCACTGGGCCTTATTCCATAGATCAGAGTTTTGATAATCATAACCTTTGTGGGTTTTCCTGGATCTAGGTTATCCTTCCAAAGATACTTCTGATACCTATAATGGCTCTCATCAAGACTAATTCCATTATATGCCATGCTTACATCAGCACATAAACCCACTAGGTGGAGTCTAAATCCAATTAGAATACACAGCAGACTCCCAAGTACATTCATTCCTTTAGCTAATATATTATTCAAGCTTTCACCACCTGGGGTGCGGGATGATCCATCAAACACCATTCTGCATGGGGTAGAAACAGAACTACTAAAGACAACTCTCCAGGGTATAAAGTATCCAGGCTCAGCATCTACTAATTTCTGAACTTCTACAGGTAATTGGACAAGTTCACAGACATAACCTCTGGATTTTAGTTTTTCATGAGATGCAACTATTTGTGCTTTCATCTCATGGTCTTTCTCAGCAAGCTTCATTTGAGTGTTAAATATTTTCTCAGCTACTCCTCTATTTGGTTTCAGTTGAGTACTTGGATCAGCAATAAAAGGAAGCAGTGCTGTCAAAGTTTTCTTGTTGGGATCTAATCTAACACAGCTCTCAATCAAATATTGTTCACTCTCTTCTTTCAGGCTTGACAGTTCCAACTGTTCACCTTTCTTGCAATCATTGCAATTCCTACAGCGCATGCACCTGTATTCAATGAGTGTTCCTGTGTTTTCAGCTGCAATAAATCTATCATACTTTTCTGTTGTGAAGGATGAATATTTAGAATAATCCACACTCCAATGCAAAGGTAATGCCCAGGAACCATCCTCCAGGTGCTTCTCACAATGACTATAGGTACATTTTTCTATCACTTCATCAGACTCTAAACTCATTTTTAAGCCAGGATCTGAACTCAAAGAAAACTCATGCTCTTCACCTTTTTCAGGTATCTCAACAGTCAAGTCTTCAGGGTAAATTGAGGGTTCCATCAGCCCAGTTAGAGGTAAGCATGATTTTTCTTGACTAGTGTATACAGTTGATTCCATAAAGTGTGTAGATTCAACCATTGTTCTCCAGGCTTTATGGGGACCTCCTAAAATACCCATCTGTCCATTTGGTGATAGGAATTTTGATCTATAAACCCCTAGTCCTTCTGAAGTCTGGAAAACTAATTCTGGGAAGTATTTTGAATACCTTATACCTATCATTATATCTACTTCAACTCCACCAATAACAGGTGGAAAGGTTGGTAGTTTCTCTCCAGTAGGATGTTTGAGCTTATACTCTTTCTCTACTTCATCTAAAACTGCTCCTAGTTCCCATTGTGGAAATGGGGTAGTTACTCTAGGCATGTTTAAAGCAGTAATGGTAGCTCTAGTTTTACCATCAGCAAGGGGGATTGTGAATCTTTCATCTCCTCCAGGTATTCTTATAGTCTCACCACCAGCCACAGATATATCAGTAGGTCCAGGTCTGAGATTTTCAGTATCAAGGATTGCAGCTGCTCTGGCTGAAATACTAGCTGTCATACATCCTGAATCATAGAACACAAGTAGTTTTTGTCCATCAAACAGAAGATACTGAAGCATATATATGGAAGGATCCATAACATCTGGGATATCAGTCCATCCTTTGACTGGTTTACCTAGTTTAGAACTGTTCATTCTCCAGTTAACTAACATAGGAACATTAAAGAAGAATTTAATTCCTGGTTTCATTACCTTGGTATCAAGAGTTTTAATAAAATCCTTTTCCTTTTGCTTATTGACTTCAGTATGCCAAGAACAAACTAAGAAGTGTAGCTGTTGAGATTTGTATTTTTTCCCACATCTACCAATCTTCCTTTGTCTGTGGCTTCACCAGAGAAAGAAGGAGGCTTTAAATCAGACCCTTTTATTGCACCAGAACTGTAAATATTAAGATCAATCTTAATATCTTGTAAATTACTCTGAACCTCAGACTGTCTGTCTTTGAGTGATCTCAAGTTTTTTTCTATATTTTCAGCTTTAGTTCCCAGACCAGCATCAATAGCATCTCTGCATAACTGTTTAGCATCAGAACGAGTTACATCTATTTTTTTTATTACATTGGAAAATCTATCATCCAATTTCCGGAACTCTCCATCTGACTGTGGTACAACATCTTGGATTAATTTTAGTTCATTGATGTGGTCTTCAATATCCTGTACTAGTGCAGGTTCAAGGCTGTTTACTCTGGTAGCCTTTATGTCCCTTGAGGCCATAGCTGCAGCTTCAGTTATACTTCTTGGCTGGGTTGCAGCATGTTGCTCAGCATCTCTGAGAACTTTCTGTGCTTCTTTGATAAAGGTCACAAGTTCTTTTTTATGTTTAACAGCATTTTCTTTATACCTTCTGTCATACTCATCTGGCCATTCCTCCATGAGATATAGCATAGAATCTTGAGCTAAAACCTTCCATTCCTCAGCTAGTTGAACCTTGGTTTTTAGAAATTCTATGGTTACTTCAGCAAAGACCACTGGAAGAATGTCGTCTTCCACAATCATGCTCAGTCTATTCAGCTGAGTTTTGTGTCTACTTATCTCAGCCTCCATAGCTGTGTAAGTATTATTTTCAGCAGATTCAAAACTTTCTTCCAAATCTTCAGTAGAAAGTCTCATAAGACTGTCCTCTCCAATTACAACCTTGTTGGAGGCAGTACTTACTTTATGTTTATTAAGGTTTGAATAATTTGTGGAGACCTGACCAACACTTATGTCATCTCTCCAGGTACTAGATCTAATAGGGTTTAAAACTACAGAATTATCCCAAGTAAGAGATTCACTTGAGGAGGTTGCAAAAACATTCTCATTTAAAGAATCATTATCAGTGGGTTCATTCTGAATACTTCTATCCTCCGGCACCGGTACAAGTCTACCAATTGCACTGTAACTTCTCCGACGTGGAGAAAATTCAAGATCCGGTAAATCCGCTCCAAGTAAACGTCTCTGTCGGCGGGTTAACGGATGAGCTAAAACCGCAGGGGTGTCAGCTGATGATACTCGGCGTTCTGGGTCATACCCGTAGATAGGCGGCTCAGGTGGGGACCGACTCATACAGCAATGTGCAAGGCTTTAATCACAAAATTCACTTTTCCAGATTTTAGTGATTTCACCTAATTTTCCACTGTGCATTTTATAACATTTTTAGCGCAATGCAGGAAGCGCTCTGGAATTTCTAGCCTTATTACACACGCACATTTAAAAGTCAACGCTGTATTTAGCATTTATTGAGCAAATTCTTCTTACAGCATCCAAAGTGGTGGAAAACTGAAAAATAATCACATTAGTTTTATAAAATTATAATTACAAAAAATGAATATTTTCTCCAAAATAAACTTTGTGAATTTGTTTGTAGTTAGACAATCTTCATTTGCTTTCAATTGAACTTTAGTTTCTTGCTTGATAATTTTCATTCCTTTTTCAGTAGAAGTTTCATCATGTTTAAATTCTTCAAATACTTATAAAAGAAATACTCACTTGTGGGCTTTTCCAGGTTTAGTTTAGTGCTCTTTTATATCCTGCAGTTTAGGCTCTTCATTAGTTNAATCATATATGTTAACTATAGCTGGCCAAATGGGTGGATAAAATTGGCAAAAAAAAATTAAGCTTAAAGAAATCAAATTTTTATCGTTCAAAAAATGATTATTTTTAAAATTCCATGGGCGGGCACTTCTGCTAGTATATTTATATATATTAATGTGTATATTTGTACATACATGTTTTGTTTTAATTTAACTTTTTTCATATTTTATATTAATTTTTTTAAGCTGCAGCTTGCAGAAAATGTCTAAATTAAAATAACAATTATTTAAAGAAGGGCATTTCTAATTTCAAAAATGAACCCTTTAAACTGTTGTCTGTGCCCAAAATGATGAAGATATTTATTTTTAACATTTAAATGGAAAATTTCCAATTTTGATTTCTTTATAATCCTGAAAATGACTTGCGAACTTATATGCTACAGAAAAAAGGCAAATTTACAAATTTATCTTTTGTTTTTGTATCAAAACGACGATTCCTGGCTGATTGATTTTTAAAACAAAGGTTCATAGCATTGTGAATCTTGCATATTAATATTAGGTCGATAGTTTCTTTGTAAACTTATTCATATATTTCTGCCAACTCAACTTAGCAATAAATCCCTATGTTAGTTATATAGGAGTTATTTGTATTATGAGTTCAGTTGGCAAAGATACTTAAATATAATTAGTACCTAGATTAAAAATATTATCACACTGTATTATGAGTTCAGTTAAATATAATTAGTACCTAGATTAAAAATATTACCACACTGTATTATGAGTTCAGTTAAATATAATTAGTACCTAGATTAAAAATGTTACCACACTGTATTATGAGTTCAGTTAAATATAATTAGTACCTAGATTAAAAATATTACCACCCTGTATTATGAGTTCAGTTAAATATAATTAGTACCTAGATTAAAAATATTATCACACTGTATTATGAGTTCAGTTAAATATAATTAGTACCTAGATTAAAAATATTATCACACTGTATTTCGCCAAAAGTTTCTATTTAAAGGAACTGTAAGTGTAATATCAAGTGAATCTCCATGCAGAGATTACAATTCCCGATTTACAACTGTACCCTTGAACCTTCTGATCAATAATGTCAAAGATAGTGTCGTTTTTCTTATAAGAAAAGTGATTGGTTTTGACAATTGCTACATGGCATCTTATAAGAAAGAAATCAAAGCCATTATTGCAGAGAAACCCCAAATAATAATAAATAGTTAAATGAAACAAAAAAAATGGATACCTCATTCATACTTGATCGGACAAAGTTTTTAATTGCACCGTTGTAAATCGGGCATTGCCATCTTTGCATGGAGTGTCATTTAAAATTACAAATATAGCCCCTTTAATAGATCTCCATTAATGCTGGGAGTAGTATTGGTTGCAGGATATACTTTCTTCTACAGTTTCTCTACTTTATTTAAAGACGATATTAAGGTTAGTTTATTGATTTGAAGAGCAAAATGAAAATTTTACACACGCTTCCAGACTAGGATGTTGAATGTGAAAAAGAAAATCAGAATTAAAAACTATTTTTATTGAAACACCCGGCAGTAAACAGAACAATTATTTTTCATTCCTATTTCTTCTCTTTTTTTACCTGTTTTGGTTTCAGAATATAAAGTATATATATATATATATTAATATTATCATGATTATACAGATTTAAAACATATACCTGTTTTATTTTTAGAGGGGGAGCAAGAAATTTACAGAAGATCCCATGGGAATGTATGATCCAGCACATAAAAAGGAAACCGGTTTACAAACAAATCGATTTTTTTAGTATTGCAATTCATAGTTTTGGATTCAGATACTTTGCCATGGCTTATGCTTAAAAAATTTTCTATTTTTTTATTTCGTAATATTATGATTCAATGGTTTATCATAAATATTGTTTGTCTCATATTAATTCTTCATAAAAAAAACGAATCCAAAGATTTTTGATGGTCAAATTTCAAGTAAACCCGGTTTAGGAGTAGCAGTTAATAGTTTTACAATACGCGTAAATGTTCGTTAAGAATTCTAGATTCATGCAGTTTTATATTTCAGATAAAAAATGGCGAACTAATCCGAACTCTTTTTCCAGGTCATTATCTAGGTTTGCTGGAGTAATTTTTCTATGGTTGGGTTTAAACTTCAAAATTAAATAACGATTTGGAATTTTCCACTTTTTAGAATATATTGGCATTTCTGAACATAATTAATAATTATTTGTTATCAAATGTATTTAATACCATCTAAAAACGATTTTTTCTTTATTCCTTTATTCCATTATACGTTTTTTCTGATTTGCTACCCATTCATAAACCTTTTTTTCTCGTGTATTGTAAATCTTCTTCGTTCAGAATTATCATGGAGATTGATAACTACGACGATCCGCTGGATCGACCTGAAATGTTGCTAAATTTCGAGGTAAAATATTTTCTCTGTTTTGGTCAAATATTAATTTAATTCGGGGAAAGTGCTTTCAGATTGACTCTCAACACAAACCATTTTTTACAGTTACTTAGAAAATTATTAGAAATAGGCAAAGAATCAATTTAAATTTCTAGTTCTCGTTCTATATATGAATTTTGAATTTCCATATCTTAGCTTAATATATACTCTTAAAGACTACATGAAGAAATGTTGAAAAAGAGAATAAATAAAGCCTTAATTGACTTCCGGTTTTATGTTACAGAAACAATGGAGGAATCTGTCAAATTCTTTGATTTTTGAATTAAATTACATCGACAGTACTTTAAGGCAGTGCTTAGGATCTGGATCCGGATCCGTTGGATTCGCAAGATTTTGGCTTACTGGATCCGGATCCACAAAAATATGCGGATCCAAGGGGTTAAATGTCGACCAAAAACTGCAAAAAAAAATTTTTTACTCCTAAAACCCAAATCTGAACTTTTGAAAAAAAGGTAGATTAAAAAAATTTCTTTTAAAAAATTATTAAAGAAATGACCTGGATCCGGATCCTTTGCATCAAAATTAAATGGATCCTAATCACTGGTTAAAGATCCATTAAATTAAGAAGAAAATTTAATCTATAAAATAATAATTAAGATGACAGAATCTGGTGTTGATGACAGAAGCATGTTACAGGAGATACTCGCTGAAATATTACTCATGAAGTCCGGGATGGAAAATAGTTTACGTTTAATGCAAGAAATTTCCTTTAAACTAGAGAAATTTTCCCATTTAATAAACACTAACCTTAGTGATCATCAATTTGATGAAATATTGTCTTTATTAGGAATTGATATCAACAGTAGTGAAACAATTAGAGACCATCAATAAAATATACAACACAGGTGAATCCTGGATTAATAAAGGTATTATCATTATTATTATTCTTATTTTTATTAATTTTATTATGATTGTAGTTATCGTAAAATCAAAAGTAATTTCGATATTTGACAATGTTCAATAATTCGTAATGTAATGTAATAAAATTTTAGCATGTTTGCAATATAAGAAACCCTTGATATATCAAGCTTTATAATTGCATAAATTACTAAAATCTTTTAAAAAATTAAAAAATCATCAATTCAAACTTGTTCAGGGACCAACCATGACAAGAAAGAGAACTGGAGGAGAGAAGAAAATATATTTAGTGTCAGAGAAAGTAGAGATCGTTCAGTGGATCGTAAAGAATACAAAGATCGTGTTAATGATCATGATGAAACCAGCGATCGACTGGTTAATCATAAAGAAAGCACAGATCTTCTATATAATCCTATAGAAAGCAGAGATCGTTTAGATGCTCGTAAAGAAAGCAGGGAACATGAAGAGGAATGCAAAGAGATAAAAATAGAAATAGATTTATTTGAAAGTTCCGCTGATTCCCTGGTTCAAGTCTCAATCAGAAAACCTAAACAAGAATCGGCTCTTAAAGAGGAATTTACAGGTTTGCATAAAGATTTGAATTTCTTAATAATTATGAATAATGTTACTACCCTGGATGTGCAGGGCCGGCTAAGAAATTAACAAATGAACCTGACGCGCGATTTTTTTTCATAATTTTATTTTTATTTTAANAGCACTTGGAACATGACAGTCTCAGCTTTTTTGGCTTGGCATTTTACTACAGTTAATTAAACCTGAAATGGCATTTGATTCTACGATCTCTTGTTTATGTTTATGTTAGGATTATTTTCAGGACTCCTGGCGGAGTATATTTGAAAATTTCCGATTGTTGTCATGATATTCATATGGTTGCATATATCACATTAATAGACAGAGTATATTATATTCAATAATTACGAATATCCAGTGAATCAAGATTAAAAATTAGGGACATTTATTTCTTTTTTTTTCGGTTTTGAAAATGAATGTTCTCAAAAAAGAACTCTACCTACAGTTTACAGATATTTCAAATAACTTCAAAATTTCTCTAAATAAATTATTTTAAAAAGTGCTCTGTGCTAGATGTTGAATGGAAACAAATGAATCTAGAGAATTTTGAAAGAAAACAAATGAATTTAAGTCCTAAAGGGGGGGGGGGCTTTAGAGTATTTGTTTAGTGTATCACATATCATTTTTGAAAATGTATAGTACCCTTGTTTTTTTAGAAATGGAAGACTTGCCTGAGAACGAGAAATACTCGGATAGATCATTGTCCGGCTCAAAATTTGATTCTAATCTCGGGAACAAAACGTTTAAATGTGATGAGTGTGATTATGTCGGGTACAGCAAAGCATGGTTAAAAAGTCACAAAAATTGCAAACATGACACGAGAATATTGAAATGTGATACATGTGAGAAAACATTTTCCGGTTTTATTAGGTTAAATCGACATAAAGCACGGGTACATGAAGGGAAACTATTGTATTGTGATACATGCAAGAAATCCTTTACTCAAGAGAAAAATCTAAAAAGGCACATTAGTACTGCCCACGAAGGACTGCGCCACTACTGTGACCAGTGTGATTATTCCTGTGGACAGCAGGGACAGTTGAAAAATCATATTGATGGAAAACATAATGGAAAAATTTATAAATGTAAAGATTGTTATTTTGAAACTACATCAGTCGGCTCTATATCCCATCACAAGAAAACTCACGAGTGCAAACCTCTGGATGGCACGCCATTTCTATGTGATCAGTGTACTTATGTTGGGAAAACTATTGGATATTTAAAAAGACACAAGAAAGCCATTCATGATGGTATATTATTTCCCTGTGATCTATGCTCCTATGCGGGTCAAGATAAGGCTCATTTAAGAACACACAAGGAAATCGTTCATCTTGGAATCAAGTATCAATGTGATCAGTGTGAATTTGCTGCAACATCGAAAGGAAACCTGAAACAGCACTATGAAAGCAAACACGATGATACTACTCATCCCTGCAATCATTGTGGCCATGTTGCCACAACAGAGTATGGATTAAAGAAACATGTTAAGAGCAAGCATGAAAACCAGATGAAACTAGCTGGGTTTAGTTAGCGGCAGCTTCCTTCCTAATATTTTAGGCCTGATCTCTTGGACTTGGTTTGCTAGATTACAATAGCATTATTTATTTTAAAATACATTAGTCAAAATGGCTGCTACCTTAATTTTGTTTTGTTGAGGCGATTTTATTTGAAAATTGCTATTTGGTAAACAGTTCTAAAGGTCCGTTGGCCGAATCTTCAATTTTTCGGCTTCTAGGATCCGGTTTCACAAAAATATATGCGTATTCACGGATCTGTGTTGATCAACCAAATCCTGTGAGAAAAAATCGTTTTCACTTTTGCATTACAAATCTCAACCGATTTGGCATCAAAATCAGCAAATATTTTTCATTTGTTCGAAAAATTTGGTAAATCTTGAAGGAATTTTCATGACCCGGAACCGGATCCATTTTTTTCAGATTGGATCCAGGATCCCTAACTGGATCCACATCAAAATGAAATGGATTCTAAGCACTTCAATAAAATGTTCCATACATACATCGCAACGAATTTAAGTCCAATTCGGGAGAAAGCCTTTTTTGGGGTTTTATTTCCATTTGTCGGACTTAAACCTTAAATCAACTGTCAACAAATGTTTAAAGTTTCAGATAAAAATGAATTTTGATAAAAATTTAAGGAGACTTGAAGCATTCGACGAACTTAAGGAACAAATATGAATAGAATAGAAATAAAACAAAATATTTATTTTTCTCAGCATATGTAAATCTTTGATAATCATTTCTTCTTATATTTTATCAATAAGTTTGTTTTAACAGTAATTCATCACAAAATATTTATCTTTCAAAATTATATACAAATTAGATCAGGCTTTTAGGGAGATACTACTATTAACGATTTAATCTGGAGATGACTTAATTAAATCAAGAATGAAGCAAGGCCTTATAGCTAGTAAACTGTAAGACTTTCCCGCTTTCAGTTGTATTAATTGATTGCTAATAAATTTGTTTTTATTAGAATTTTATTCTTTTGTTGGTTAAGATGATAAAACCGGGCACCGAGGACAGTATAGTTCTGAAGCGGGTTATGATGGATATTCTTAAACTAAAGAACGGAATGGAAGATACTCTAACTCTTCTAGAACAGCTTTCACGGAGGGATGACGAGAAAGAGAAATCATGGTCCAAGGTATAAGTCCGGAGGTTAAATTTTTTAAATCCCCCCCCCCCCTCTTAAATAATGATTTTATGGGAGATGTGAATGCCCCAAATTTTTACTTACTTGAAATACTTGATGATTTATCCTCAGGACTCCAGGTAGGAGTAAAGCGGGAATTTCAGTCAGGCCCTCTCGGAGTAGTAATGCTGTCCTCTTGATTTGCGTCCTTTATGTGTATACTCTTGCTCACTAGTCCTGGCATAGACATTCAAGGTTTATAAGATGGGTATCAAGTAGAGATTAAAAGATATTAAGAGACTTAGCATCCTTAATTTCAGTAGGTAAATTGTTATCGGTTTATTACCCGGTTTGAGTAGAAATTCCGTCGTAGGTACATCCTAGAGTGTTTTGTGTTAACAACAGTGTTTAACAATGATCATTCTTAGATTGTTTTCCCTGCAGCCAAGGAACAGATAGAATCCATTAACAAAGTCCTGATTCTTGGAGTCTCATGGCTTAGAGAAGGTAAATATAAATATATTCTTGTAATCCCCGTTTGTCTGTCTGTTTGTGTGTCCGATCATAACCAATTTACCTCAAATTTTTATTAGGGAACTTGGTTGTGGGCTTACATTAAAAATTCCAAGTTGAGTTGGTTGACTTTTTTTTTATAAAAAGTTTAGTTTTCAAGCAAAGTTGGGTACCAAAGCTAGAATAAAAATATTATTGAAACAATATCAATTGGGATAATCCACCTTGTGATTTGGGAAGATTTTTATATTTTTCGAAAATTCCACTCTTTAGAAATGTAGAATACATTCCGTTAATTTTATCAAACTTTTATTTGTTTTTTTTATCACTAACGAGGAAAAGACGACATTGTCGAGTTTTCATCTGGTAAAAATATAATTGTAAATATCTGTTTTTAGGAAATACTCCGACTCGGGGGACTAAGAGAAAATGTAAAGACGAGTCTAATAAAGACAAATCTAATGATGATGCTGAGGATAATTGTGATAATGATGAGAATGATGCTGGTGATGTTGACTATGATTATGATGTGAATAATGATGATACCGATGAAACCAAAATTGAGAAAGACCTGGCAGCGGCGCATACTGAACAAGATGATAAAGGGAAGGAGTTAAAGGACTTAAAGGAGTTAAAGGAGTTAAAGGAGTTGAAGGAGTTGAAGGAGTTGAAGGAGTTGAAGGAGTTGAAGGAGTTGAAGGAGTTGAAGGAGTTAAAGGAGCTCCAGGAATTAAATGAACTCAAGGAGCTGAAAGAAGAACTTCTAGGTAAATTATGAATCTAAGGCTTCCAAGTAAATTATCCAAACTTTGATTAATTGATAGTAATAAGAGCTGAAAACTTTTGAATCGACAAAAATCAATTAAATTGGATAAAAGGATTTTAATTCATTCTTGCCTCTCTCATTGCTCAACAAATGAGAGGATTGACCAATACATTTTAATCTAAATCATTTATTGTTTTAATGTATTCTTAAACTATAGGCGGGGACGGGTCCCGGGGCCCCATGAATCCAAAAGATATTTTTTTCAAGTAGGAAATATTGGAATTCTGCCTGACACTTTTAAAATAATGTTGTATACAATTTTACATTTATATTTTATGAAATACTTTTAAAAAACTTGCTTTTTTGTTTAGAAATCGAGGATTTTGCTGAGGAGGATAATGAATACCAAACCGAACCAATCTTCACTAATCAACAATATAAACAATTGAAAAAGTTGAAGCAATCAATGATCTGTTCAAATCAAAACGTTCCATGTAGTATATGCAAGTATATTGGTCCGAGCGAGGCATCGCTGGAAAATCACATGGAGCGTAAGCACAACAAGATCCCGTGTGATCGATGTGAACAAGTGCTGGTCGGAAGAGATGGTTTGAGAAAACATGCTAAAGTTGTCCACGAAGGTTTGCGGTATAATTGTACCATCTGCCATCAATCCTTCACAGATCCAGGCAACTTAAAGAGACACATTGGAAATGTTCACGAAGGTCTCCGACACTATTGTGACCAATGCGATGCTTCATTTGCACAGAAGGGAATGCTAAAAGAGCACATTGATGAGAAGCATTTGGGAAAAGTTTATAAATGTACCGAGTGTAATTACGAAGTTAATTCTAGGAGTTATCTCAGGATTCATAAAACCACTGTGCACAGGGATCCAAAATCTGAAGGAAATGTTAAAGAAAAGTATCTTTGTGATCAGTGTGAATATGTCACATCACTCAAGGGTAATTTAAACTCGCACAAGGAAAGAAAACACTGTACAGACCCAAGTGCTATTGTTAAAAGTTTTAAATGTGATAAATGCGATTTTTGTACACACATTGCATCTTATCTAAAACAACACCTTGCGCGTCATGAAGAACCAAAACATTTTTGTGATAAGTGCACTTATGTTGGGAAAACAAACGCCGATCTTAAGAGGCACATAAGAACTATCCACGATGGTATTAAGTTTCCATGTGATCTCTGTGCATACTCGGCCCAAGACAAGGCACACTTGAGAATACACAAAGAGAATGTCCATCTTGGTATCAAATATCAATGTGAGTTCTGTGAATTTGCAGCTTCCACCAGAGGGAACCTCAAGCAGCATAAAGAAAGCAAACATGATAGAACCACGCATCCATGCAATGAGTGTGGACATGTTGCGACTACAGAATATGGTTTGAGGAAGCATATTAAAAGCAAGCATGAAAACCTACTAAAAATGCTTGGTTAGCTTATATTAGAATCATACTTTCTTAATTTTATACTCAGTTGCATTTATTGTTAGTGTTTAAGTGCTAAGAAATTAGTCTAGATAATAGTTCTGAGTTTGAGGAGATATTTTCTAGAAATAATAATTTTAGCATATTAAAGCAATATTTTTTTTCTGGCCGGCATTAAATCCAGGGATCATTTGAGACCCCACACATAAATTTTGGCATGTTACTGCTTTTTGCAGATACAAAAGAACCAGAAATCAAGCAATACAGTTTTGTATCCTGTACACTGGAACATGATTTTTACTAACAACTCAAAATAATGGGTTAGAAGTATGTACGGTTTATGTATATTGTATGATAAGTTTTAAAGGGAGTGACTGACAATGTTTGGTTGTTGAACTGAATATGTAGTATTGTTGACTCATTTTAAGACAAATGTTTTTCAACGTCGATTTTGCACTCAAAGTAAGTAATTTTACATCGTGAAACGTTTTATTGGCGCTAAGAACATCTGCTCTATCCTATCCTATCCTACGCACTGCTTACAAATAAAATTTACTCTTATAGTTGATATTGAGCCTGTTGCTATAGTTTTGTAACCAAATAATAAAGATTGACTCTGTACTTCTCATGCCCTTGTAGTTGATCTGGAAAACTTACATTTTGCCAACAAGAAACTTGAAAAAATGGTTTACTTTTTTTGATTTTAAAGTTATCTATATTTTGAGGTTAGATAATCAATAAGTTAAAATTAAGGATCCGTTTATTATTGATGTGGATTTGAATCCTGGATCCGTCTTAAAAATATTAATCCAGCTCATGAATATTTACCAAAAAACAAAGTTTTCTTTTCTTTTCAAATTTTTATTTAAAACCTTTATTTAACGATTAGGAATGTTTTGATGATCGAGATGATCTATCATAAGTTGATACCAATAATGTTTGCGTTTATAGCTGAAATGATAAATATGTAAATATATGTATTGTACATAAAATATATTTCAGAAGAAAAATGTCCGATTAGGAGAAATAAGACCCTTTAGAGAGGTTGAAAGCAAAATCAGAAATTAATATTTAATTATTTCGAAACTTGAAGTATAGACACAGGGGTGTATATTTTCCTGCAATAAACCTTGTATGTAAATAATCAACCCTGAAGACACATAAATGCTAATATTAAACAAATTTCGCAAATCAAGAAAGTTTTCAATTTTTCTTTGTTTTACTTCAATGCTAGTTTTGGTAAGATGAAAAATCCGTTAATAGAAAGGGGATGGTGGAGTTGGCACATTTGATGTAGGGGGGGGGGGCCCTGCCTTCATTTTTGGTTCAAATCTTCCAATTTTTTGGATGCACGCCTAATTAGGGTTCGAAATTCCTATAATAAAATCAAATTGAACTTTAATGACCTCTAATGACCTCTAATGACCTCTAATGACCTCCACAAATAGAAAATATTTCAACTATGGCTTAATGCATATCAAACGAAAGCTAGGAACCCAG